CAATGTAAATAGTCATGAAAATAAAGAAAACGCATTGAATGAGAAGGTGTGTCCAAACTTTTGGCCTGTACTGTATGTATATATATATATATATATATACATACACACATATATGTATATATATATACATACACACATATATGTATATGTATGTATGTATGTGTATATATGTATGTATATACATGAAAAGGCAGAGTGTGATCTGTGATGAGATGAACTATATGTTGTGTTGCTTGTCTCTTAAGCTGTAACATGCACTGACATATCCTGCTGCATCTAAGGCACTGCCACTATTTCTCCAAGCAGATGTTGCAGTTTAGTCTGGTCAGAGAGTGAATCAAAATCTTTTGCAGATTACATTTAATTTTTGTAAAGAACTTTGTTCTGATGTCTTCATATGTGCTGCACTATAGCAGGAAATGTTGCCCTGTCTCTGAGGACAGAGCTGACACAGCCTGTCTCCTCCAGGCAGTCAGGTCTGCCTGTGTCTGCCAGTTTTTATGTCCAGGCTGTGATCACTGAGTCTGTACATAGTTGGTGTGTTTCTCAGTTTCTGATCCATCACTGCCATTTTAAATGGTTAAAATTGTGTGGGGTACCACTTTGTGGTGAGTCAGCCTTTGTGAATGTTATTTATTAATGCTTCGTAAGTCATTACTTTTCCTTTTTTAGATCATTTATAAGCCATTAATAACTATCTTCATCAGGAGATGAATGTTTGACCACATACCATCTGGAAATGGGCTGCAGGGTGTCAGAGAAACTCAAGGCCGTTAATAAATGACTAGCATTTTTAACTGCAGACACAAATTCACTCAAATCTCAGATATTATTGTATCTGTTTTATGCTCATTCTTGTGGACTCCAATGATCTGATGACTGCAGAGACTGATGGAAGTCTCACAGGTACACAGCAGCAGCAAGCTAACTGGCCATCTTTATATGGTGGAGGCCGCAGCTGTCTAGTAGAATCTGTAGGTGAAGGGACGCTGTAGGTTGCTGGAAAAGGCTGTAGGTGGAGGTTCAGGCTACAGCTATCTGCAAGAATCTGCAGGTGGAGGAAGCGGCAAAAGTTGCAAGTAGACACTGATGGAGGTTCTGGTTGCTACAGAATCTGCAGGTAGAGGCAGCGGTGCAGTTTGCTGGATTAAGATGTAGTTGGAGGCTTGGGTTGATGTTAGCACTGCAGGCTGATGTAGAAGGTTGTAGGTGGGTGTCTACCAGAATCTGCAGGCGGAGGTGGCCTTTGCAATTTGACAGAGGTTCCAGATGGAACATGGTTTTTCAGCACTTTTAGATGGTGGAGCCAGTGCAATGTTTTTGGGGGAGGTTGTGGTTTGAGCTTTTGTCTGCAGCTATCTGCTATCTGCAGGTGGAGGCCCGTGCAGCAGACGGTGCAGTATGAAGGGAGAGTTTAAATCTTAAGGTGGCTGTGTGAAGCCAGTGGTGGAGCATGGAGCAGGACAACTCACACAAACCTCCCCAGTTAATTACCTACAGTGAGAGAAGTATTTTTTATATTACAAGTTTCCTGTATTGTGTAGTTTAAATTTGTAAATGATCCATTATCCAATTAAATATGCACTGATTTGTAAACATTTTGTTTCACTTTGCTGTCATATTTCTGCTGTCATCAAAGGTTTTTACAGAGGGAATTTTGGATATCTCTTTTCATCTTAGGTTGGGAGATAGGCGATTTGTTTGTGGGTTGGGAGAGTGAAACAATTCACACCAGATATTTCAAAGTCATGGTCACATATTGCAGGTGGAGGTAAGGGAAGCTCAACAACTCCACAGCAGCTCCTCTCATTGATGCAGCCTGATTTTTTGCTGCCCCCAAATGGGAATTTTGGATATCTCTTCACATCACTTAGCAAATAAGAAAACACTGTTAAGAGCTATATACTATCCATTTTCACCATGTTCTTAGGAATACAATGTTCTATATAGCAGGGTATGTGTTGGAGCCATTTGTTTGATTTATGTTAAATGTATTACCGCACCACGCCACTAGGTGGCTTATGTTGCTGGCTGAGGCAGGCCATGGTTCATACCTCTACGGTTCATGCCTATGGGCGCAGCACAGGTGTTGCTGATGTAGGGAAGCAAACAAGATTGGGAGTAGTTTCTGACTACACATCCAAACAATTCAGCCAATTAACAATCAGTAACAGCTAAATTATAGGGTGAGTTACCACAGTATGAGTGATATATGAACAATCCCCTCTGTAAAACCTCAAGAATATAGATAGGAATAAAACTGGAAAGTTTGGTTTGTTCAGACTATGAGAAAAAAACCTAATTTTGTGCCAAAAATGTGCACTGTAAAATTCCATACATCTTTAAACAAAGATAAATACATGAAATAAAATAAGAAACTGGGGTGAAAAAAATAACTATTAGATATAATCTTGAAAGGAAAAGAAATATCGAACCCATAGTAAACCATATAAAATAAGCAGTAAATACTGTATGTCTACAGTGTTGGGATCTCTTGAGAGGAAAATTAACTGTAAAAACAAAATTAAAAAATGATGTGCCAAACTAACACTTTCAGCAGTGTGATTCATGTATCATCACAGATCAAAACACTATATGTCAAAACTCACAGTTATATTCATCCTACATAAATGTCAGATATCCAAAACTGCATTGTGGATGGGAACAATTATAATTAAGGATATCCTCAATATTTATACAGATGTCAACAAATATATTTTTACTTGTAAAATTTACATATCCAAAATGACATTTTGAATGATAAAAATGTATTTTTTGGAGATTCAAAATTACATTATGGATATCTGAAATGTTTTGTTTTTAGGATATCTGATATTAATATTATGACTTGTACAAATTGTGTTTCAGAAATGTTATTTCTCCTAGTTAAAATTCTATTGAAGATATCTTTAAGTGGCTTTTTTAACATTTATTGCTAGGCCAGATAAGTATTGCAGGTATCTGCAATTAAATTCTTCTTCGTCAAAATGAACTTTTTAGGTATCCACACTACATTCTTCCTATCTACCATTGTCATTTCATTTCAGCATCTTCATTCTTAGGACAAATGATTTCACTTTTACCATTCATGTGTGTTGGGCTTTCAGTTTTAGATATCCACAGCATCATTGTAGATATCTGCAACAGAAAAACTCCCATTCATTTATCTACAGTCTAAATCTTCCTTGCCATATTTTACACCAAAACAAAAGCAATAACTAAATTTCAGGAATTTGAATATGCTGTTGCAGTGTGTAGGTGAGCTGAAAACTATGTCAGCATGAGAGTCAAGGAATTGCATGCTGATACACCTGTTGCACAGCACAACTATATATTATTCATCAGGCTGATTTTATATTCCTCTTCCGTAACATGCTGGCATGCTACTCATCTCACATTGCCAACAGATTGGCAAAAAAATACATGTGGAATGATGGTGACTGGTGTGCTATGACCTTTGTCAGAGATTTGTGAAACCATTTTTACAAAAATTGCAAAAAACTGTTGAGTTTCCCATTGAAAGTAATGGGAGATCATTGTGAATTTGATGTTAACAGAGCGAAAATAACCCCAAAATCGCCATACTTTGACATGAAAAAATCAATAAAAATTTAAACGGTTCATGAGACCTGGGACTTTAATAGACTGATGGACATTTTGAATAACTAGTACAGTCTTTGTGAAATCAGCAGTGGTAACAGGCACCCCGTCAAAATTTCTTGCAAAATGTTCTAGTTTTACATTTAAAGTTACTGATTGCCTGATGTGCATTGACTAATACCTGTAGGCTACATGTAACATTTTGAATTCTGTATTAATGTGTTTTTTATCTACATTTATTAGGTGAGTTATTGTTTTTAAAATAGGCTGGTTGACCTTTTTTAGCATGCACAATGTTGGATTTTTTTGCCGATATCTGATGTGCTGATATGTAAAAAGGCAGTTGACCAATAACCAATACCGAAATAGATATATCCACTTTTTTCCCCACCTAATTTTAGTGATCATCAAGTCTCTTCTGCAGTGAAATTAACATGATGTTATGCATGCACACTCTTATTGTTATGTCCACCAGTAGACAGAGACATGAAATACAATACTTTTCAATGTATGTGATATTCATTCATTGTGCAAATATAGAAAAAGCATGTTGGCCAATTCTGATAGTTCATTTTAAAGCCAATATCAGCAGATATCGAAGTCCCGATATTATCATGTGTCCCTATTAAAAAGGCAGATATAGGCTACAGCTTTAATTTGAAGGAGTACATTGTAGAGAACATTAACTGAGAACAAGTCTTCTCAAGTTTAGCGGAGACTTGTGGGTGCCCATACAACCCACTGTCATTCAGATATCTTGAGGTGAGACTTCAAGTGACAAAAATACAAAAGCTGCTTTTGTATTTGTTTTTCTGTCCATCACCCAACATTTACCGTTTTTAGATGTGCGTGCTGTTTTGTTTTGTTTTGTTTTGTTTGTTTTTTTTTTGAGTCTTCAGAGAGTTCAAGGACCCTATTTAGCCCCCTTCCTAACAACCTTTGCTGACATGGTTGGTATTAATGGTTGCCTTAATTGTCAGCTTTCCTGTTGAAGTGCGTTAATATATATGTAAATGTATTGTGTTTTTGTGCTCTGTACTGTATTTTTTTATTGTTTTTTTCTGGTACCTTGTACCTTCATTTGTACTACACAATTGCATTTTTATGTTAATGAAATTATTGCATTTTTTTAATTAAGTTTCAATTATTTCTCAATAATTCCTGTTGTATTTTGCTTCTTATAATTTCTACTTATGGAGCCCAATACTGTTTAAAAGCAATAGAGAGATCGATGAAAACAAACAAACAAAACCCTCCAGCTTGATGTGTGATGTGTGATGCGTGTGCACTGTAACGTGGTGGACACCTGGTGTGTGTGAGAAACGGGAAACCCGCTGGTCCCAGATCAGTGCGGATCATCAGGGGGAGGAGATATTTGTGGGGGAGAGAGAGGTATCCTGCAGCAGGTCTCCAGTCAGTCTGAGACAGAGGCCAGAGAAGAAGCTCGAGGACATGTTGTGTATTCTGCATCATTTTCTCGCACTGACAAGAGATGTGTGACTCCACTGAGCGCCGTCATGGACAAAAGGGCCCCCGGGGCCACTTCAGTGTCACGTAGCCGAGGACACAACCTCTGGTGTCCAGATGAGCAGGGAAGGCGGTGATGGACTCCACTCGGACGCACAGTTGTGAAACACTATGAAGGCAAACGGTGCAGCATCTGAGGGTCTCTGGGCGCCGCAGTAAGAGCCATGGATCACTTATTCCGGAGGAAGCGGGTCGGTCTGCTGAAACCCCTCCTGAGCCTGTCTCTGGTCTTTGCCTCTTTTCTAATGATCCACAAGCTGAAACTGGCAGAGAAGGACGGAGTGGGAGCTAAACACATAAGGGATGCTGGTTGGTGCGGCTCTGAGTGTTTTTCATTCAAGAAGGGAGCCGTGAAACCTAGTTTGGGGAGCTCGGGCTCTCCAGTGCTTAGCAACGAATTGGATGCGCAGCGGGTCTCTAACGGGACTCCGGCTTCCTGGGACGCGCAGGTTCTCAACTGCAGCGAGGACGCGTCGGTGAGGACGCAGGACTGGTTCCGGCGCTTGGACCCGAGATTTCACCAGTTTGTTCTGCACAGACACTGCAGGTACTTCCCCATGCTCATCAACCATCCGGAGAAGTGCGCGGATGGAGAGGTGCACCTCCTCATGGTGGTCAAATCCGTTATCGAGCAGCACGACAGGCGGGAAGCGGTGCGTAAAACCTGGGGCAAGGAGCACACGGTGGATGGGAAGAAAATAAGAACTTTATTTCTTTTGGGGAGCCCGACGACTGGCAAAGACACTAAAAACCTCCAGAAACTGATAGAGTACGAGGACAGGATCTATGGGGACATCCTCCAGTGGGACTTCATGGACACCTTCTTCAACCTGACCCTGAAAGAGGTCAACTTCCTCAAGTGGTTCGACATCTACTGCCCTGGTGTCCAGTTCATATTCAAAGGAGATGATGATGTGTTTGTGAACACGCACAACCTGTTGCAGCTCATCGACTTCAGACTGGAGGAGCGCAAATACGCAGAGCTGTTCGTAGGGGACACCATCTCCAAAGCGATCCCCATCCGAAACAGGCAGAGCAAATATTACATCCCCAAAGAGCTGTACGATAAGCCATATCCCCCGTATGTCGGAGGAGGTGGGTTTCTGATGTCCTCCCAGCTGGCCAGGAGGCTCTTCGTGGTCTCGGAGGACCTGGAGTTGTACCCGATCGACGATGTGTTTTTGGGGATGTGCCTGCAGAAGCTTCACTCGGCTCCGGAGATGCACCCGGGCTTCAGGACCTTCGGCATCACCAGACGCAGGGTGAGCCCCATGAACAGCGAGCCATGCTTTTACAAAAACCTCATCGTGGTGCACAAACTGAGCGCGCAGGAGCTGCTCAGGATGTGGAGCGTGGTGCACAACGAGGACCTGATCTGCGCTCAGAGGGTCTCCATGTGATTGTATATAAACTAAGTTAATTCACCCAAGCTGAACTGAATACAAAGAACACTTGTGTTTCAATTGATCATATATGATGATCCTTACTGAATCTGCTCAAGATTTTCTGTATGTCAAATTCAAAAGGTTACAAAGTTTCCCTCTTCACTGCTCCTGCTACTTTAAGTTTCCATTTTGTAAAACCACTACCATACAAGCATCCCAGGAAGATTTCTAATTTTTGGTGCCATTTCAGGTTGTGTTTTCGTCACTCTGTCACCCTAATCTGAGATCTAATGTTGATGTAGACACATGGTTGTAATGGTTTTAGTGCGTGTTTGTGCAGGCACAAATAAGACTGGACTTTTTACACCTTGGTGTCTCTCTGAAACAGCTGATTTGATCGTCTATTTCTGATTTCAGGGTTCCAGTGTGACTGTCACAGTGAGCTATGGACTCAGCACATAACATGAAACAAACAACTGCATTCATTCAGTGATTATTTTGTAGGGTGTTGAAATTGTAACAAAATTAAATGATTGGTTGTCAGTTAATATGTTGTTTTCAAGTGTCATTTCATGTGTATGGTTTGCAGAATCAGGCCAAACAAACCAAAGACACTAGAGGGATGTAATACTGTAGATTCATGTCTGATAATGTCAGTAAAACTGGAGCTTGTTGTCAACTTTGTAAATACAGAAAATTATTGGGAGAGATATGGAAAACACTGACCATCTCAAGTTCTGCTGTCAACTGTGTATGTTACAGTATGTGAGTTCGTGTGATTGCTACACAGAGGGCTGTACAAAGCTGCTAAGCAGCAGGGAATCTTAACTCTTAAACAGTATCAGAAACCACATCTGCGAACCTCAGCTTATGTAGCTTTATTTATTAAACAAATACAGATACTTCGGCAGAAAAAATAGCCATTTAATGACAGAATTTATATTCAGAAAATACTGACTACTATGCACATAGAAAACACCAAAAATATCCACTGTTGCAACAGTCCTCCATACAGAAGCATGTTAAAGCCAATGTGATGAATTGGGAAGTTAAAACCAAATATACTCTCATATACATCATCTATATTTAAGCTGTTTTGTCCACTAATATAACAGTTAATGTTGTAATGCACTTTAATATTAATTTACCCTGCTAAACTGTTTTCATGGATGTTTTTGTTTTACTTGTTCTTGGCTGTGAATGAAGCAAAATATATATTACAATCAACATTGTCATAACACTGTGCAGTACAACAGAAGTAGTGAAATTATAGCATTAACTATAAATCCTGCAAATTATTGAGGGAGTTCTTAACATTTTTGTGGTTGTGACTGTGGTAAAAAACAGTCTGAAGTGCTTCAAACTGTCTGTTGGGTTCGGCTTCAGTCATATCTGGCAAAAGTTGGAGAAAAATAGGTGCTACACAAATTCTGTTCATTCATCCCCACTGTGTTTTTTCATTTAAATAATTGTGTTAAGTTAAAAGGTCTACTTTATCCCTCTCACTGGACTAGTACAGCGTATACAACTATGCTATCTACTCAAGATTGTCAGTAGAAATTAAGCAGGGAAATAAGTTCATACTATACTGAGAATTCAGCATCATCCCTTTGGCAAAGTACTCCATTCCTTCTATATAATTTATCTACGTTATGAAATGAAAAGAAAAATGTAAACAGATGGCAAAGCGTGAAGCTGACAGTAAAGCTGTACTCAGGTCGTCAGAGGCTTTGGGACGCTGGAGTGTTGCCAAGGGAGGAAAGTCTTCTGCCTGTAACTAAACCTCATTCCTCCTCTGCTCTCATTACTACTTCTACGAAAAGAGGAGTGTTTCTAAGTGTCAGCTGCTGTCACTGTCCTCTGGTAAGATGGAGCGATTGATTACATATTTAATGAGACTAGACTGGTTATCCATGAGAAGAGGTCACTTGTTTTAGAGTTTGTGGTGTAAATATAATTTAAAATATGCTGAAAATCCTTTTTTTTTTAAATTAAAATATGCACATTTTTAGCAGCATTGGATAGCTTGTGTAGGACGGTTAGTTTAGTAGCTTTGTCAACTCAGATAAAATAACCCTGATGATGTCTTAGTGATGTTACCAGTGTTATCTCAGCTTGGCCTCAGTGAAAACACCTGTGTAAGAGAAAGCCTAGATTGTAAATTGTATCGGGAGAATCTACCAGACAGACAGGGTCGAATGGGAAGATGCTTCCCAAAATTCCCAGCCATGGTGGCTCCAAATGGCAGTGAGCAATATGAAAAATAAGCGCTTCCAAACGGAGACATCCTATAAGGACATATCAACAAACAGCACAGGTGCGTGTGTTCATTAACCTGGCAGGTGTGTGACGCCAGAGGTCTGACATACAAACATAAGAAGCAAGAGACTTAACACTGGTGAGTCCAGCTGCCTCCTCTCTGTGTAGATTTTCTGTCACTGACCACAACAGAACTAAATACCAATCAGAGTTAATGTGCCTATCTACAGAGTCTCAATATCTGGATACAACACCATGTTGCAATGTTTATACATTAGCTGATAAGACAGTAGTATTATCTTTTTGGTAATCTTTAAAATAAGTGAAACCTATCAGATGTCTTTTATAAAAGTGCAGATATGCAGAAACGTGGGACCAGGAAATATGGGAATAGGGTGGGGTTACTACAGGGGTGTTTGCTGCTGTCGGGTTCCTCCCCTGTGTGCTTTGCACCAGTTTCAGTGTTTCCCTGGTGTATGTCCTCTGGCCAGAGGTGCCAGGGCTGGGATCCGGCTGCCTCTGCCCATGGGTCTGGCTCTGGCCCCGACCGACCAGGCCTGCTTCAGCTTGGCTCCACCGACAGCCCTGCCTGGACACACAAACACACACACACACACACACACACAAAATGACGTCGGTATAGTAAATACAGTAAACCTCTGTGAAAACGTTGCCATAGATGACCCCCCTCTGTTCTTGATTTCCATTTACCACCAAACAACCTGCATTATCTGTGATGTCAGTGTAAACAAGCGGGCTTCATGACATCAGCAGTTTATGGGGACACAGCTGTGTACTGGGAGAGGTCATCTCTTTGATATGACTGTCGCTACTGCGGTCACATCACAAGGCTTTCTTTAAACATACTGTAAGCTACTAATTTTGTTCTGATAGCCTACTAGCACTATTAAAACAATGTCAAAATAACAGATGGAAAAAATTCAGAGGTTTACTTATTTAAAAATACCAATGCCACTAAAATACTTAATTAAAAGTCCTGTATTCAAAATGTACCAAAGTGTGTACAAAATTGACAGAGGCAGGCCTCACTAACATCATACAAAATTAAACATGGAATAAAACATGATTCATTAGCACAAAAAAGGGGGCAGAGGCACTATTTCACACAGCAAATGCTACATATTTAATGAGTGTGGCTCCTGTTTGGGCCATCATCTATTAACTAGATTAAAATGTACATGTGTCAGGTCTGATACCACCTTCCACAAACTATTTGCTGGAGGAAATCCTTAAAAGTAAACATATTAACTGGTGAGCTATCACTCCTTGTCCCGCAGTGTTAACTATGCTGTAGAAAGCGCGTAGGCAAAGAACTCACTAGATGATGGGATTGGCTTATCTGAAAAGCTTTCGGGATCTGTATGTCAGAGGGGGCATTGTGACGCCCTGTGGCACTCCTGATGTAAAAGGTCGGCATGTTCCTCTATCAGAAATGCAACATAGAGGAGATTATGTAGCCTAGTGTAAGTGCAGTCTAATTCTCTTTGTATATCATTACTCATTATGTTATTTTGAATTTGTGAATAAGACTTTGCTTTTCTTGTAGTGAACGGAGAATCCAAAAACAGCTCACATTCTTCTTGAGTTGACGTAAAAGAGGTCTGCGTTTAACAACAGCAAAACTATATCAAAACACTTCACATGCTGTCACACAACTTGTACAGTATATTCCAAGTTTCATTTATCCAGTCGTACGCTCAATACTTCCCAAAAACATACATTTTTTGCTAAAACATGATTTAAAATATCATAGTACAAACAGTCTCATGTACGGCCAAGTAGCATGCCTGGACATGTGTGTGTGTGTGTGTGTCTGTGTGTGTACTCTGCTCATATACATGGGTGTGCTCAGGCACACACAGGGCGCGCTCACTGTAGGTGAAAGTGTTTTAAATGGTAATATTTTAGCAAAAATGCATGTTTGGGAGGTACAGAGCATACAATTAGATACACAAGACTTGGATTATACTGTATAAGTTGTGTGAACACAAAGTAATGTTTTGATTTGTTTTTTTTTTTTTGTTTGTTTGTTTTTTTCTCCTACTTGTCTGCATTGGTCTTAGCTTAGCGCCACTAAAGGGTGTAAGCTTCTTGTAAAGATTGATGCACTGTTAATCTTGCAGTCAAGTATTTTATACCCATAATGCGTGGTTGTGACTGTCACCCACCCTCCCTGGAGACTAGCCTATCAGCCTTTATTGGAAAAACTTCCTAATATGAGTCAGAGAGGGCCGTGATACACCATAGTGTGTCAAGGGGAAAGTAAGGAAACAAGCATGGGGGAGGGGACAGGTGCTTAAGTCCTGAGTTATATAGTGACAGTGCATGCGGAGAAGAAGGAGGAAAAACAAACAAACAAATAAACAAACAAACAAAAAAAAAAACAGGGGAGAAACAGGCAGTGTAGCTGATGTATTGTGGCCTTGAGGTGGTTGTGCTCCATGCAGATTATCAAAAATAAACATATACATGTCTACTATACTGTACTGAAAAACAAAAACAAAAGAGAAGTCTATACTGAACACCAAAAATGTGAGAGTCTTGGTGGAGGGGGAAAGCCCGATTGCAGAGAAGAGTTGCCAGCGCGGTGTGGTAGGTTTGAGAAGCAAGTGGGCCCCTTTGGAGTGATCCCATCGGTTCTTTGCGATGCGTCACGGAGCTGAAGTATCGAACATGCATGCATGTATTTGAACCCTCCCAATGTGTTTATGAAAACCATCACCAGGGTCCAGGGCCAGTCCTGCGGGGGAAGGGGGGAGGTATGGCACCCCAAGACCGCAGGAGCGCCCAGACCCCAAGACCAGGGAGCCGCAGAGGCCGCAGGACACCACGCAGGCCCAAGGACCCAGGGCGGCAATGGCCGGCACCCCCAGAGAGCCAGAGACACACCCCAGACAGGCGGGGCAGGAGGGCCCGCCCACCCACCGCCCGACGCGGACCGCCCGGCACCACCCCCGGGGAGAGAACCAGCACCGCACCGGACGGGCCCGTACCAGGCGCCGGCCACCAGCAGACGTCGGACCGGACGGTAGTGAGAGCCCACCCAGGCCCGGGCGGACGAGGGAGGCAAGGAGGCGGTGATGCTGCAAGGCATATGTCCCCGGCGCATCGGGAACCAGGGGACCGTGAAGGGCCACCCGCCCGAACCCCCCAGGACGGGCCCCCACCAACACACAGGAGAGAGCGGCCCGCCACAAGCAGTCAATCCCCCATCGGGACCCCCTAGCAGAGGGCCCATAAACCACAGCCGGTCAGGAGGCAGAACCCCGGCAGGAACCCAAAGAGCCCCCAGGGCGCCACCCAGCCCACCTGCCACAGGGCCACGGGACCCCCCAGACACCGGGAACCCAGCAACACCACCATGATGTAAATGGGCTCCCTGGCTCCAACCCTCAGCCCAGGAGGGCCAGGCCCCACGAGCCACGCCATGCGTATCTACAGTGTGTGTAAACCCACCACCCCCCCTCTTACTATGATTCTCTGATCCCTGACGGAGAAACATTAACCCTACACCGTGAATGTGAATGTGAGTGCCCATAAGTGTGATGTGGTGCATTAAAATTGTAATGTTTTGATAAAGGTTTGCTGTTAAATTTGGTCCTCGTTTACTTCTGTTAATGATGAGTGTTGGCCATTTTAGGATACAATAGTTTTCTTCATGACTTCAATTGAACACATGCTGAGTAACTGATATACAAATGGTCATTTTTTGGGTAAAGTATTCTTTAAATCCTTATGAATTCTCCTTCACATCTTTTCTTTACCTCAATGGAAAATGTGATGAGGTCAAGCAACATCTATTCTGGCTCACTGTCACTCATATTAGAACACTTCAATAGAACAAAGCCATCATTAGTGTTATTAGTAACACCTGTGCTTTTCCTACTATGTCAAATCAAAATGTCTGCTGTGAGAAAGGCCTATGTGGTTACAGTACAGATAAACTAATCACAAGCTGAGAAGATTCATGGCGCCATGCAGCACTGTTGTGCAACCATGATACTCAACTCAACGGCTTCTGTCTTCTGCATCATGTCCAGGACATGAACGCATCATTCCCTGTGAACCCCAGGTACATGGGTGCACAATTTCACCAGTAACACTAAAAACCACTACAGAAACTCAATCAACTTTAATATATTCAGCAGTGGTCCTGTAATGTGAGTGGTTTGCCAAACCCAACGGTCATTCTGGCATCAGGATGGTTATAAAAGTAATGTGAGACATCCCTTAACAAAATAATGGGCATCCAGGTTAATACAACCTGCCTTACCTGTACAAAAAGTGACTGCATGTTTCAGTCATTAAACAATTTACTTACAGCTGCTGCCATGATTGTGAAATATCACTCAAAATGGATACACTAACAGCCACTACACTGGGCTCCAAATTAAATCTGTCGCTATTTTTAAGCACCTTATTCTGTGCTCTGAGGCAGGAAACCATAGTGGAAAAGCTGCAACATGAAGTTTTACCAACAAGCATGGGCACTTTGTATAGCTTCCACACTGAGCGTTAGGGAGGTGGGTGTAAGCAGTGGGTGTATGAATGCTTTACCTTGTGCTGGCTGAGTTCTCTGGGACACCGCAGTCCTGCGTGAGTTTTGTTTACAGCCCTCCCTGCCCATGAGGTGAGCCTTCCAGGCCTGGAACAGGGACAAAGTAGCTCAGTTAGACCGTTCCTCTCCCAGGTACTTTCTCGATTGGGACAGCCACGGGTGACTGTAGGCCCAGTCAGGGCCCGAGTGGCTGCCCTCCCTCCCACTAACACAGCAGTCTTTCATTGGGTCGATGCGCACAGCTCTGGCAGTGAGTGTGTGACTTTCTGTGCGATTTTTTCTTGATTCATTTTTGAGGGTGTGAGAGTTGGGCATGTTGTGAATCAGTTTTCGAATGAGAGCACAAATAAGTTAAAGCGTCACTTTACATTTGGGCATAATCTTAAAATCTCTCCTATCTTGCCGCACTTGGACACTAAGTGGTTTTCAGGGAATTAAAATGATTAAAACAGTAAACAGTAATTTTCATGTTTAAATTATTGATGATGTTTTCTTTGCCAAGACCAGAGAAAATGTTGACAAAGAGACTCACAGTAATGCTCAGCACAGCAACAAAGGATAACAGGCATTTCTCCACAGCAAATGTTATCACAGCAGCAACAACACAGGTGTAATTAATACCATTAGTTTGATGCTTCAAGTCAAAATGTCTGCTGTGAAATATTTAACACTAAATCAAATACTGTGTGAAAATGCTGCTACACCGCTCTGTTTGGGTTTTAGCATGATATACACCTGGCCACACCCCAGAGTGATGTTACAGTTGATGGTTTCCATCAGCTGGCAACAGGAGAGCACCTGCTGTGACATCACTGATTAGTTCTTCAAAGTTTTACAAATGTAGACGATATGTCTTATAGTTCTTTTTAAATGTATTCCAAAGCAACTGCTGCAACTGTTTAAAGTCACTGTAGGCAACATTCAGAGCATTAATACAGCAGAAAAGACTTATTTGCTACGGTGGAGTAATGGCATCCTGAGGTGAGATGTAGTCCCACTCCCTGTGTGTGTGTGTGTGTTGTAATCTGAACATCCCTGTTATATGTTGTGGTAGACGGTTCGGTGGCTATGCGTGCATGTTAATGCATGTAAGTACCTGTGAGTTCATGTGTGCGTATTCTGCTGGCTAGCCAATCGCTGCTGCTCTGCACTGTGCTCATAGGGCAGATACAGCTGATACTGGGACGGCGTCGTCGAAGAAACATTGCGTATTTGTACTGTGTCCAGCTCTGAGGCACTCCGGTGTTGAAAAACTCAAAAAAGTCTGATCAGCTGAGGTGTCCAATCAATCCAGTAAGGGGGTGTGTCGGTCAGTAAAAGACTTCTGTGAGGGCTGCTCTCGTATATCCTCGCTCATCACTCATCACTCCTCCTCCAGAGCACAAATAAAAGCTTTGGGATGGTCAGAACGACTTCCAATTCAAGTGAGGACTGAGAAGCGGGGACCCTGTGTTATATGCTCTGAATGTCACATACAGCTCCTATGGAGATCCACTGAGCAGGATTTAAGAGCATCTAATATAGAAATGGAGTTGATATTCTCAAATATGTTTTCTTTAGTTTATAATCACCTGAAAATAAGAACAGTTCTGTTTTGGTTTTCTCAGACCTGTTTATATTTACATACTGAGCGGGTCCTCTCTCGTGGCGTCCACCATGTTGTTCTAAAGTAGCCCCAAATGACAAAATCAAACACTGGCTCTAAATAGGCTCATTTGCATTTTTGCATCAGCCAGCATAGTTCTCCTACACGCTTGACACACGAGAGAAGCATCAGTTCTGCAACCTCACTGCTCAGTGCCACTTATCCCTCACACTAGACCTTTAACTAGCACACTACTTCTGCTTGCTATAAGTGGGCAAAACAGACCTTTGTTTATGTCAGAATTACTTTATGTTCACTACTTTTTGTTTATCAGGTAGTTTATACTTTCCTTCTGAATTGGCCAATCAGTAATTAGAAGTGACACCATGACAGCACACATTTAAAAGGAAAAAACAACAACAATATGTTCAAGGGGCATTCTGTAATGAAAGATCTCTATCAACCTATCAAGCAACAGTCCAAATGGGTGAACTCATTCCAATCACAGGATCTCCAACGAGTCTTAAATTGTAGTTTTTCGCAGAGTTGGAAGAGCATAATTTGAGAACCTTCTGCCTTCCTTGGATGCAGTAACTGTTTGTCTGACTACCTCTCCAGAATCAAACCCTGATTCCCCCCTGATGACCTGTGGTCACCATGGTAAGCACAGACATACCATAATTTTAATAAAGCATCTATCTTCCATTTGTGATTGGTCGGGATTGTAATAACACTGATGGAAACAATATTCTCCTACAACACCCCCAATATGTCAAACTGAAGTCTGAGGTTTTGGAGTTTGGTCTAGAAGTTCATTTCAAAGTGCCTGTCCCAGTGTGACCCCACCTGTAGGTGCTGGTAAGACTGATTCTTGTAGCTCTTGTGGCTCCTTGACAGACGAGTTACATGATTCATTAGACGCCGTGATGACAGGAATGTAACGGTAGACATATGAAAGGCTATACTGTTGTAACATCTTTTAGAGGGGCAGAGAATCTTGTACACTTTAGCTCCATTTTAAACTTCTCTTTCACACAATAAGTGAACAGACAAGGATTAGTGATGAATGAGCAGCTCAGAGTGCGCTGAAATATGAGCACAGTTTACTTATGAAAGATAATAACGACCTATTTGCCCTGAGGTTATATTATGTAATATTAAACAATGAGGTTACATTGTGTGCTTCCATTGTTGAGTTACCTATTTCAACTGCATTTTCTAATCGATTCATGGCCCTCGTAACACACAGCAGTGAGCTGCTGGAATGTCCAGTTTTACAACAACACAATGATTACATTTTGTCCAGTTCTTGTAATTAGAATCAAAAGAACTGCATCATCCTCACCAACCCTGACTACAAAAAGATTTCGGGAAAGCATGACTGTCAAAAATATATATGAATATACATATGAACAGCTAGTGAGAACATTTTTGTCTGTAGTTCCTCTCAAACTGATAGGAATGTGAAGAATGTGATGGCATCTACTTCACCTTGAGACAAATGAAACGGCCCATTAAGAACAAAGGCTTCCCCTCCTTTGAAGACTTTAAAGGCCAACAATAGCCGTGTTTTACCTCAACACCTGTTTGCTCCTCAAGCCTAATATTAGACGCAGGTCAAGTTTCTGTGTCGATATAAAAGAGGGAAAATAGAAAAGGTCACGGAGTGAAGCTCAGGCCCAAGTTCTGAGAAAACCTTCATCAGACCCAGGGTTACCACATTATTGTCGGGGAAGCAGCTCTATAGAACTTTTTTTAATCTTGCCAAGACACAATTAGCATAAAATAGCAAAACTCAATTGTTTTGCTATTTTTGCTTGTACGTAATCTCACCTTTTCTCCAGGCATGAAGTTGTTGTGACACAAAGGACAGTGGTTGGAGCCTTTACCCGAGATGGGGGCTGAAACAGAAACATGACACCTTTAAGCCACCTCTTATACAATTACAGAAAAGGTGCCCTGAACACGCCAGAGAAAATGCTAAAATTACACCACTGAGGGAGAACACTTTTAAAAACAATACACCTTTGAGGAATGGGAACATTTGGGTGAATATAATCTATCCTGCTTTACAATTCAAACTTCTGTTAACTCACTTATAACCAACAGGAGTAAGACAGACTTGAAGGTTAAGGTAAAACAGTTCGAAGGCTCACTGGTGTCACTTATCTATGAAGAGAGACATATGGCGGGTAACAGAGATGTAGTGTGGGTCCTGACACAGTGAGCCTCTTCCTTTAGGCTAGTTAGTACAGTTATAGTAAACTACATAAGCTGACCTCAGCTCTAGGATAGTAAATACTGGCATCAGGGCTTGGCAGTTTACAGAAAATTTACCACAGCACTATGGAAAAGTACTGACTTGTGACTGTCAACACAGCATATTTTTCATGTTTTATAAGAGCTTTAATTGTGACCACAGATGTGTTGTATCTGTAAGGGGACGACTGGTCAATAAATTGAGCCATATACAGTATATTGAAAGAGGACATCTCAGCTGCACTGGGTGCTAAACCAAGGCCAACCAGGAAGGAAGAAAAATAAATGAGCAGAATGTGTTTATCCACATGAGGCTGGTAGATCAATGGTGAATTTTATCTTTTTGGAACAAATTTAATGGTTAATCTGACTGAGGAAGAGTTTTGTGTGCTCTGTGAGAGAAGGACGTAGAGCTGCAAATATCTAGAAACTACTTTAAATATGATGCCCTCATTTAAGATGATATAGACTTGTCTATTTAAATGTAGTCCCTTAAACTTGGGGAGCTGTGGGAAAGGATGATGAGGATGTAACAACTATCAAATTACAGCTGAGTCGGCACATTAACCTTTCAGCCCTTGTTTCATTTCAGAGCCAAAATTGGCTTGTGTTAGTGTTAATACATTCTGACTTGGTAAATTATTAAAGCAATTATAATCATCTCTTCAGTGGTACTCATTTGGTTGGTTAACATTTGACTATGACTGGATTGACTGAAGGTACAATGTGTATGACATGAGCAGAATTTTAGATTAAAAACAGAAAATGAACTGACATGAACAGAATGTGACGAAGTTGCAGTTTTGATATTAAATTAAGACGTCTAAGTATTGTGATGTAGAGATATCTATACTGCTAGCCCCAGTCCATCCTGTCTTGTAATTCCACTACTGGAGAGGTGACAGTGAGTCACTGTAGCGTCTAGTCTGCCCTCATGAGAGGACAAAGCATCACAGAACAGCTCTGGGTGAGTAGCATAGTTAACACAACAAGCGCTACATCCGCACTAGTGTGTTTTTGTTTTATTATTTATAATACAATAGATGGCTGAGGCTCTTGCCAAGCGACCTTTATTACATCCCAACCACCCACTCCCGGTGCTACGTGTATCAACAGGAGAAAAACACTATTTGATGTGGAAACAGACTTTGACATAACACCTTCAAGAAACCATGTTTGCCGGCAAACAGAAGAAGTGATATATCAATAAAAAGAAGCAAATCAACAGTAAACATAGGCATGGTTTCCGCTGGAGACAGCTCTTGGTGAGTAAAGAGATGAGGTAAGTGGATGATGGTAAGTTGATGGTAAGTGACATCTACTTCAACTAACGTAATGACAAAACAAATTAAACTGAAAAACATGTTCCAAATGATGTTGATATATGGCTCTGTTGTGGTATTTTTCTTGCTGCGATGGTCTTAAACTGAGCTTAACTAAAATTTGACTATAAAAGTAGTACGATGCCACACATAGAGATTATGAAATAGCAGTGCTATTTTGACTGTGCTCAGAGTTTCAGCAGTTTGTTCAAATTTTGTGCATTCTTGCCATGCTCTTAGTTAGTAGTTGGCTTTTTTTTTTTATAATTGTTGATTGTAGATTTAGACTGTATGGACCCAGTAGTAGACCGGTGAAATGTTGCCCCCTATTTCTTTGGAGCATGTGGCCAGGTACTGCACAGTGCATCTTTAATGCTACCTTCAGATATTGTTGTTAATACAAAAAAAAAAAACAAAGTTATGACTACCTCTGCCAAACACTGTTGCCCTTTGTCCCAGGAGGTGCAACAGTAAAGCAATATTTGTAGGCCTAGGAAAGGCAAAGAGGCCCCAGAACAGAGCCATACCACCAAATATAATACTGCAAATGTCAGTTAAGTTTTCTTTGACTAAAGTGGTCCTGACTGACATAGTTTTGTTTTTATTAATTAGTTCTGGTGAAGTCATTTTTCATTGACAAATAAAGTGATGCAGTTTTCCTGATGGTCGAGCACTTAAATCAAATCAAATCAAATCAACTTTATTTATATGGCACTTTTCATACAACAGTAACACAAAGTGCCTCACAGAGGTTAAAAACAACAAAGATCCAAACAGAAAACAAAAAGAAAAGAGAAAACCCAACCCTCCCACCCAACAAAAAGCTATTTAGCTCATAAAATTGAGTTAGTAGCTAGGTAAGAATGATCTAAAACAGAGACATAAAAAGCATCAAAACTAAAACCTATAGGCTAACTAAAATAACAAAAGATAAAGGTTAAATGAGACAAGAATGTAAAAAGAGGAAGGGTAAGAATATAAAAAATAAATAAAAAATAGATAATAGATGGGTAAATCGGTTATAAGAGAAATTTAAAATAGATAAATACAGAGATCAGTTAAAAGCCTGATTAAAAAGATGAGTCTTGAGCCTCTTTTTAAAAACATCAACCGTCTCTGCAGCTCTGAGGTTCACCGGCAGGCTGTTCCACAATCGGGGGCCATAATAATAATTAAATGCCGCCTCCCTGTGTGTTTTAGTCCTAACTTGTGGTATGGTTAAAAGGCCGGTGCCGGAGGACCTCAGGGTCCGCGAGGGTTGATATGGTAAAAGCAGGTCAGATAAATAAGAAGGCCCAAGACCGTTAAGACATTTAAAAACTAATAAAAGAACCTTAAAATCGATCCTGAAGCGCACAGGGAGCCAATGCAGCAATTTTAAAACTGGTGTAATGTGCTCCCGCCCTCTGGTCCTCGTCAGCACTCGTGCAGCTGAATTCTGTAATAATTGTAGATTTGAGATACTCTTTTTGGGAAGACCAGAGAGCAGGGCATTACAATAATCTAACCTATAGGAGATAAAAGCATGCATCAGCACCTCCATGCTGGCCTGAGAGAGAAACGGGCAGACTCTGGCTATATTTTTAAGGTGGTAGAAACCTGCCTTTGTTATGTTTTTAATATGTGGAATAAAACAGAGCTCAGAGTCAAAAATCACACCCAGATTTTTTACAGATTGTGTTGGTTTAAAATCCTGTAGTTTTGGTAAAAGTTTCTCTCTCTGGCCTTCAGGACCAATGACTAAAACCTCTGTTTTGTCCTGGTTGAGCTGCAGGAAATTCGCTGCCATCCATGACTTTATATCTAAAATGCAGTTAAAAAGGGCATCAGTTGGCCCTGTGTCATCAGGAGACACGGCGATGTACAGTTGCGTATCATCAGCATAACTATGAAAGCTGATGCCGTGCCTCCTGATGACGTCCCCCAGAGGAAGCATGTAGAGATTAAAAAGAGTTGGACCTAAAATTGACCCCTGGGGGACCACAAACTTTATCTCATGGGTTCCTGAGGAACATGTATCCATACTTACAAAGAAGTGTCGATCAGTAAGGTAAGAGACGAACCAGTTAAAAACAGTACCAGAGAGGCCGACCAGATGCGTACCATGTGCAATGTCCACAGTTCTGGCTTGGACCTTTGCTGCATGTCATATTCCTATCTCTCTCTCAAAATTTTCCTGTTGGTGTCTACACTGTCACCATCCAAAAAAGACAATAAAATAACTAAAGAAAAAAGAAAATACTCCTGGTTAAAACAAACTTCATGATTTCCATCACATAAGGCATTTTCAGAAAATTGCAGTGGCATGAAAGAGTGAGACTGAGAACTCACGGTTGCAGGCGGGCCCCTGGACATGGCGAGTCAAGTCTTCAGTGGCCACGGCCTCTGAGCAGCGTGGGCACTGGCTGAACTTGGAGCTGCTTTCACATTCCCCCAGCAGGTGCTCTGTGAGGCTGGCTATCTCCACTACCTGTGAACACAATGCAGAGCTGTACACAAAGTCTTTGAGCTTAATCACTGAGGTGGTGATTAAACAGCTTGACAGATGTCCTTCTTTCAAGAGGACTAAAAACATGCCAACACCTTTGAAAATGTAACGGTCTACCTGTCTACATTCATCGCAGCGTCTCAGCATGGGACAGTGTTTCCAATAGTGAAGGTCCAATCCATCCTCTGTGAACGACTCATCCTTTTTATTGCAGAATATACACAAGCTGAAAGATCAGAACAGGCTGCAGATCAGATCACATCCCTACAAAGCATTGGCCTAAGTACTGCTACACTAATGACTATAATAAATGATACACTAAATAGGGATGCATGATAATACTGGTACATCAATGGTAGGGGTGTAACAATACACATATTCATATTGAACTGTTCGGTACAAGGCTTTCGGTTCAGTACACATTACAAACTAAATGATACGCTGAACTGTACTGTTACATTTGGAAAATAAAATATACAGTTTGAACTGTACTTGCTATAATGTTCAGTAGCACAGTAACACAGTAGCCAGTAGCACACACAGTCATGGCACACAGAATTATGTGATTTCATCTAGTTGAAATAGGTCAAATTTGCCCTGGTTGAGGCTATTGTTGGGATTGTCTTAGGGAGCACATCATCCAAGCCTGTTAAAGTAGGATGAATCTTATGGTTCTGTTACAGGAGAGATTTGATGGTACGGTGTAAAAAAAACATGTGCATATATCTGTATTGGCATCTGAATCTGACCAAAATCGGATATTGGCAAAACTCAGTGATCATTCAATCCTAACATTAGATGAAAGTTAAACAAACACCACTAAACCTGTAAAATTGGGACTAGGCTAATAAGCTAAGCTTTTCTGTTGATATTTGAGTCACTTACTTATCCAGATAGCTGACAGTCTGTCGAAGGTCAATACTGTCTGTGACATCATTCTGCTGCACTTCTGTGTCAGCTGGAAAACAAGAAGACAGTATCTGTTACTTGTCATGACTGCACTTACAGTCCCTCACGTCAAGCTTTAAAGATATACAGGTAAAGGTAATACTACATCACAAACACTAAACTACAAATCAGAATATTTCAGTAAGATAAATCAAAATTATAGTTGAAATCAGCAACATGTTCTTATATTTTGTTGCTATGTTTATTGATTTTATTGTGCCTGCACTCTGTTTCTATAGGTTCATGGTAGAAATGACCAGCAGTATCTGTGTCATGCCTTACATGTTGTTATATTGCCTTCAAATGAAGCTTTTGTTTGTTACTGACATGCTCTCATTGGGCTCATTTTTCTGTATTGAATTAAATATTGAAAATAAACGATTCCCCATTTTTCTGGGGACACTCTGGAACTCCCTCAAGGACCCCTGAAATCCCTTCAGCAGGTGTAAATCAGACCTGCTGGTGTACAGTATATGAGGATGTTTAACTCTAGGGAGGTGAGATGCTTTTGTCTCCTTCTTTCTAATTATTTAACATGTGTACGTACTTGTTTTGCCAGCTTTTGGGGACTCAACTGTGGGAACTTCTCTCTTGGGCTTTTGTCCTTCAGTGCTTTCATTCCCTCTTTCCTTCACAAGCAGACAGAGTAATAGGAATAGATGCCAGAAAGCAAGGTTCCAAAAAAAGTTGCTATCATACAAGGAAAGCTTAGCACAACTTTAACAGTAACTTCAAATATAGACAGCTGTGGATAAATGGTGGAACTCCTCTTCATAAGACACTTAAGGAGATAAATACCAGTGTTGAGTTTCTCACCAGCTCAAGAGTAAAAATTCTACCAAGTCTTAGTGGAGTCATACAGACAAATTAGCAGCCATTACAAGAGGAGAGGAAATTGCAATCTGATGACAGCTCCACCTACTGTGATCTCTTTCAAGGCTGCCAGCTGCTCCTGAAGGGAGTGGATCTCCTCCTTCTCTTTTTGCCCATCCTGCTGACCACCTCCCTTCTTCAAAGTCTGGGTGAAAAGTGACATGCCATCAGCCTCATAGTCAGTGTCAGTTTGTCAATTTCATTTTCCTCTGTTTGCTTACTTTCCACTCTCTCTTTCTCCTGTCAATATCATTTTATGATCACGGCTCTCTCTTGCTCACCATGCCAGCTTTCATTTAATTATTTTCATCTTTAAAAGCTGAAGAGCCAAGAGCTCTGCGGACTCTGAGGGCCATTGCGTAATGGGAAGGCTAAATTTCTAATAATGCCAGAGAGAAATTAAACTTGGTCACTGTGTGAGTCACAAACTTTACAGTAAAACAACACCACACCATGTCAGCTTTGGAACGCAAACTGTCTTGTTTACTGGCAGCGTTTGTGGTTTCAGCTTACAGCTATCCTTTCCCATGTTTTGTGCTACACTGCTAACTATAAAATATCAATCAGATTTGTTAGGATTGCATCTTACACAGTTTAGTTGGTGATGACTTGAAGGATTTGAAAGAAATGCAGCACCATATCTGCATTATACCATCGATAGATACATGCATGGAGCCGTCATGGATTATTTGTTAAACCAGTTGAGGAGAAAACAGACTGCCTGTGCTGACTTTGGCAAAGGAAGCAGCGAAGGCAGTTAGCTGTCTGTGCAACATGAAACTCTTTCACTGTCAGCTTAAAAAAAAATAAAAAGACATGACGTCATGCAGTCCCCTCTAAAAGCTCAATTCATTTCAGCTTGAGAGTGCTTCCATCTGCCATGTCTGACAGTTTCACTGTCCATCTGCCAGCTGCTCCTCGCTGACTACAATCTGTTTGAAAAAAAAGTGTGAACACACCCTCAGTCTGGCAGTCTGATGCAAATAATTTTAACAGAGTGAAGAAAGACACCCTTATATTCATCAGAAACGGTTCATTCTGTTGTAATAGAAAGAGGAGATTTCAGTTCTTTCTCTCTTTTTTTATATGATATTATACTTGACATCAAATTTATATTATATTTTATATTATATTTCAGTGAAGATGTTATGTGTGAATGAGAGATTCATTTGCAGTGAAAAAAAAAACCTTCTTGCCTGAGTGTCCACCAGCTTTCCGTCAATCTTGGCAAAGCCATCAAAGAGGGTTTTGAAGAGGAAGTTCTTCCGTACAGCAGCATCGTTTGGTGAAAGGTAGCTGAGAACAGATGCTCTGTGCTGCTGGTACATGGATAATATGACGCGCACTGCCAGCTCTCGAACTGCTGACGCATTGTGCTCCAAAGCTGCCGTACAGAACTGTCAAAGGAAACCAGGGTTTCTATTAACATGTGAACCTTAAGCAAGGTTTGACTGGCTGTATATTACTGTTGCAACATATGCCATTAGACTTTTTTGTTGTTGTTGATGTAACACTGATTTGGAACTGCAAGTAGGGCTGCCCACTAATAGTCAACCGAACGTTAGTTGACCAGAAAGGTCATTAGTTGGCAAGATTTAATTGGTCGCTTAGTCGCAGAAAAAAAATCAAAAACAAACAAATGTGAAACTCTATTAGGAGCTGCACCTTGTCAAATTAAATCAAACCCTACATGACTGGACCGTGTAGGAATTTAATTTGAAAGGACAGACACAGGAAGAGGCCACACTCAGCTGTCAGACAGTCACGTTACAAACCAATCATAGTCGACAGATATCTTTCGCTTCTTCCGTAGCTGATCATTTTAGTGCAGGGCTACTCAGAGCTTTACATCTGTCTGATGATAGGCCTACACGCTTAAAAACAGCACCTGAAAGAAGATCAGCCCTGCACTTGGGATTTGAGTTAAATAGGCTATATGATGCTTGTTATGGTTGCTTAGCAACCTCGGACACAACCTGCAGCTGCACTCTTGAAAGATGGCACAAAAAAAGCACAAGAGTAGCGCCCAGTGCCCGACCTTGTATTATCCAGGCGGTCAAAGACGCGGCATGTGTACGGCCCCTAATTTCCAGGGCTGGTACCTGCGGTTATAACACAGACTACTTAATAACATGTGGGATCATTTTGAGAAGGTGAAGGATGAACCCAAGGTGATATGTAAACTCTGCAGGTAACATTTAATGAGGGTTCATTAGTACGGTTTTGTATTTCTCTGTAATGTAGCAGAGTGTTAACAATGTTACTGATACTATTCTTTCTCAGACCTTGAACTCAAACCATTGTGTTGCCCCTCTCAAAATATATAACTTAATAATTAAATTAATATCACAAACATGTGGGCAACTAGTCGACTAATGGCCCTAAATGACGACTATTGGTCAACTAGGAAAATTCTTAGTCAGGGGAGCCAAAACTGCAAATTACATTTAATTTTGAATGATAAACAATAGAAAAGAAAAAAACTCCCTGACACAACTAGGAATTGACCAGTGCGCAACGTTGTTGGTGATCATAAACCTGAGTGGATCACCAGTCACTACATGCATTTAAGTAACTGTTGTCTGCTCTCTGCAGTGACTTTTCATAAACCAGGTTTCTGTGATCGGGGTAGGGGATTAGTGAAACCTGATTTCCCCAGCTAGAAATGTGAAGAGAAAGCCAATATCTTGGCCAAGAGAACCATGATATCACCAGGTTTCTAATATACTTTTTACCTATGCACATGTGAATGACTGTATCACTGCAAAGCAGCAGGTTACACAGAGAGATCATTGCACGTGGTGATGCATCAATAAATTAAACATTTTATTCAAAGTCCCACTAAAACTGAAACCAAGACAAAAATCCTCTGTAAGTCTGAATGAACTGGTTCCCAGCACTGAATAGCTAAGTGTTTGTAAAATTCACATGCAGCCTTTAAGAAAATTATCTGATATCTGGTTACACACTGGGGCTTACAGTATTCAAATTGCATGTAAACCTGTTGTCTGATTTCCTGTATAACCTGATTTCTTGAAGTAAACTTGTTCTACATAACATGGCAGGAGGTGCCCCAACTCTAGTCACTTTCAAAACTAAATTTAAAACACTACCGCACTTTTAAACTGTGCCTTTAACTCACTTTTCCTACATTCTTTATTAAGCAATTGAGTAACTTGATGCACCACTATAACTGCACTGTGTTTTTGCCTGTTACTTTATCTGATTTTTTTCCGGTTAATTGTGTTCTTAGATGTTGTTCTAATGCACTTCTTATCCTTATGTAAGGCAGTTTATATTACCTCTGTGTTTAAGAGCTGCCATACAATTTAAGTTGCCTTGCCTTGTCGTATCTCCAGTGTGCTGGAGGAAATATTCAGTGCTTTTGAACAGATATAAGTCAACATTTTGTGAAGAAATATTTGCAGTCTAGTTTCATGCACAAAACCATAACATTGCTGATGAAGTCCTTTGAGGGAAGTGCACATCATGACGTAAAAAGAGCCCATTATCCGACATAATCTGTGTGAAGGGAGTGGCAACACAATGGCAATCCCACCAGTGGAGAAAATTAACATCCAGAAGTAAACTGCGCACAAAGGCCACCCATCCCTCGTTCAACAGGCTCAGGGACAGCTCGCCATTATTCTCTGTTGTCTCTGCTGACCACTTCTCATTTTAATTACAGGAAATTCAATCACCCCCTTTTTTTTTCTCTGGCTCCCGCCTCGGGGCAGATCACCCAGGTAACAGCAGGAGGAAAAGGAAAAATGCTCAAAATATAGCTGGGCTAACACTGTAGGGCTGTCAAGAGGGCTAGTCACAGGATCTAAAAGAGGCAGATACCAGAGGAGGTTTGAGCTGTGAAATTTAAGGATTCTGTCATTTGCCAGTTTTCTTGAGTGTATTAAATTAACTCTGTGTCTGTTGTGCAACTTCTTTGTGTTTGAGGAGGGCTCCTACCACCAAACCATAGGTACAATTCTGTTATTAGCAGCTTAATAAACAGGTTGCTGGGGTAAATCTGTAGATATGCATAAGTTTTCGCTCATATGTTAAAGGGAAGATTTGATTCTAAGCTCTCCTTCTCCATCGCCACCATCAGTGTCACATGCTAATGCTGATATATGCAGTGTATCCATTTCTATTTACTGCCCGAAGGGAGTGTTTTTCTTTCTGCTCTCAAACACACACAGATAAAACTGTTTGTCTGCCTGAGGTGCTTTGTGTGTCCTGAGGAGGAGGACAGCTATCTCTAATGGGTCAGCCCCACAAAGGTTACTGCAGGAACCAAGTCGCTGCCCTGAGCCTTCTGTACTTTTAATTAAATGATATGTTGCTACCAGGCGTCACAACAGATTGTCAAGCCATTCATTACTGAAACTGAGTTTCAGTGTAAACCTGGTGTCTCTTACATGTTACTCATCAGGCAAACTGTGAAATAAAGCTCAGCCCTCCTGTCACGTCTCAATCCAGACGGGAAATGTTTCCCAGGCAAACATGGGAGGCAGCCAACACAAAGGGGACAGGCACTGAGCAAGCATGCTCAAACACGCAAACACAGGCCACCCAATGCCACCTGTGTGGCTTTGGCTTTAGAAGGCGGAGAAACTCAGAGGATAAACCTAACAATTTGCTCTCGCCGATAAAGGATGTGCGGAGTCAAGAGGAGGGCCGAGTGAAGGGGGATGGGCGGAGGACTGGTCGTAAAACTGGAGAGGGGTGGACAGGACGGCTTGGTCAACAGTTGGACAGTTTGCACGTAGATATTAGGTCACTGCTGGGAACCAGAGCAGTGCAGGGGACGTTAAGGGGATGCCAATGGTGACAACATTGACTCAGCTGACTAGAGCTTACTGACAGCCTGTTTGGGCGAACTGAATGGCCACAGACAGCCAGGGAACGATTGCTCCCCTGTCAGTTAGTCACACTGTAATTACTCAGTCAAATGTAACAGAAAATCAGCTTGATGGATGTCTGCTTTTGATGTGGAATAATGCAGGCATTATATTGTATCTATCTCTATACAGTACATGTGCTGTCATGTGTTAGAGGAAATGTCATAATTGCTGTTTCCAGATTGGAAAGAGACAAACCTGACACTGCCAAAAAACAGCAGTTGTTAACAACTCAAGTAAATAAATCTGTGACTGCCAACCTACAGTGGTATTTTTTTTGTCCACTGCTAATTTTCAGCACATTTTAAATTTATTTGTGAGATTTTAAAGCAATTAAATTCCCTTAAAATGTTCCAGTGTCACAAAAGTGTCAGTGTACAGAAATCTAGGGCCACCACTGGAATAATCATCTCATTATCTTGAAAAAATAATAGCAACTTGAGCTTTCAACTTCCATACTCTGAGACTTTTGGGGTTAGATTATAAGAGACTTCAAATAATTCAAATTAATTAAGAAAAGAAGAACGTACAGATGCATTTCAAATGATCTAGGTCCTTTACCGTCATGACATTGTCCAGGGTAAAGCCAGAGTTCTCTGTACCCAGTTCAGCGAGCAGCTTCTCAAGCAGCTCGGCCCGACTCTGAGCCAAACGAGAGGGGAAGTTGGATTTGAAGGGCTTCACCAGCTCGCCAGGGATTACCTGCAGGGCGCGTACGTCCTTCAAAACAGCAATTTCCTAAAAGAAGGACATGAGAAAGAGACAAAGTCTTTGAACTTTACGGTGTAAAAGTCATGCAATGTCAATGCAGACTTACAGTATGCACCTTTAAATTAAGTCATGTGTAGGCTGTAAGCCAACGACAAAACATATGTGATGCTACGCTTGGTGATTTGTCATTCAACACAAGCATCTGTTAGAGAGACAAGTCATGATAGAGAATACAAGCGTACAATTAAAGTAGGACGGAAGATAGTTCTTGGAAAAACTTCTCTCAGTTGTTTGCTTTTTCAGCCTCATCAGGTGAGTGGAATGTATGTTGGAGATAAGGGATAGATACACACACACACACACACACACACACACACACAATGTGTAATTTGTCCTCAACATACAAAGAGGGATTCAGTCATTGCCCAACTAACAGAGCTCTAAACAGATCCAGAAGGGCTGGGCAATGATTTCAGAGGGCTGAGACTCATCGTAATGGCCTTACAGTTGTGTCCTAATTTGAACTCATTGAAACAGAAGCTACACACACACACACACACACACACACTCACACACAGATGAGTAACACTGCAACAACTTTCAGTTAGCAAATGCTCATTACATGTTCACACCAACCTCCATTACAGGCCACAAATACCAAACACCACCTCTTCTGTATGGAACACGCACTGGCGGCTCTGTTCCAGTGACAGGCTACAAGGAGCCAGTCTCGGCAGTTAAGGTGACTACAACATGGGGCTTGTCTGAAGGCTGGGGCTGAGCATGACAACACCTCTGACACCCTCTAACTCACCTTGTGTATGAAGCTGAGGTACAGCACACTGAGTCAGTCTCTGAGGTCAATGTCATGTTGGGAAAGCTAACGTAAGACGTTACCAGCTCCTATAAATACATACACTAGGATCTGCACTATATTTGATTAGGATAAATGAAATACAGTGTGCAGATGCTAATGTGCAGAAGTTTGTTTTTGTGTTTGCATGCAACAGTCCTCCCAGCACCCAAAAAGCCTTTCAGTCTGGTGGGTGGCAGACACTTAAGCTCTTAAAGAAAATATTAAGAACAAAAACAACAACAACAACACATAAAACTGGCTAAACCTAAGAACTTAGAGCCAGGACATTCACCATCAAAACAGCAATGCTTCCATTACAGCTACAAAATGAATCAGCAGGTTGCATAAACACACACACAACCTCATTCATTGTACATACAGACAGTTAAATAAACCGGTTGAAAGCTGTTAAAATAATGGCATGCACTGTTCTTTCTACCCACAGTGTATTGTGGGAATATACCTACATGACAGGATAATTACAGGATCTTATAGTGACACTACAAAGTTCCAATTCAGTGAGGACTGTAACTGTATGAAAACAACACGAAATGCTGCTTTTAACCAAATTGCATCCTTGGCTATGATGACTTTACATTTTGCTGTTGGAAGGAAATTGTCTTTCTTTGTAACAGTGCTAGTTTCATAATCTTATTACAGAATGACATTAGGTCAGGGAAACATATTTATTTATTTTCATAAATATCTGTCCTGTTTTTACACTTGTCCACTCAAATAAGCTCAGTACTCCTGGAGAGACGCACAAGTCTCTCTTTGACTGTTTACAATTTACAAGCACTCTGAACCGTTGGTTGGGCGGTGCATCTTTCCTGGCAAATTAATCTATAGTTTCGGAAAGATTAAGTTTCCAAAGTTTACCTTTGGAGTGAGGTTGGATTCAATTTTACAAGTGTTCAAGCTGTTTCTCCGGTTTGCTTACTGCGTGGCGTGTAAATAAAGCGCCTTTGTAATCATTGTTCCCTTTCAGTCGATTCACTCGGTACAACACACAGTTGTATATGGGATATCTTGCTTTCATCCCCCTTGGCTGAATACACCTTTAATCACGCCTTTAGGCAGATGGTGCGTGACGACGCATGCTCTTTGTGTGGCCCCGCCTGCGCATAAGAGGCCGGTCGTCAGCTCCATCCCCAGTTCTTTTGCATTTCACCTCACAGAGAACACCTTGCAACGCCTACTAGCTTTCAGATAATTTAGCTTATCGGCTATAGGAAAACTAGCTAAACTGTTCTGTTGGTGTTAGCCTAGCTTCCCACAGGGCGCTAGTTTTTCCACCAAATTACGCTAACGGGAAATATCGCATGATGAGTACCGTTCCTAAGAAGGCTAAGAAGAAGTCGGCTCATCGGCCTTGCCCCCAAGGATGCGGCTTCGTCTTACACCGTAAGGACTTACACTATGCTTGCCCTGTCTGTCTCGGTGTTGTCCACGTGCGCACCGCGTTGGCCGAGCTGGAGAAGTGCGATAGCTGTCACCTTCTCCCGCGAACAACACTCGAGAAGCTGGAGGTTTTCGTGCTTAAGGTCCTTGGCTCCGCAGCTGCTAGCAAGCAGGACCCTCTGCTCTCTGAGACGGCTGATGCGGTTTCGTCCGCCTCTGAGCCCGAGGAGCTCCCGGGTGAACCCCCCTCAAGTGAGTGGGACAGCCTGGCTTTCTCCGGCGAGCCCATGGAGGGTGAACCGGCGTATTCATCCTGCGCTGCTGGCGAGCTTCAGCTTGACATGTCCGCTTCTTATTCGGAGAACGATGTACTGGACCTCGGTCTCGATGCCCAGGCATTTTCCGATGACGAACAAGACACCTTCTCCTCAGCCCAAAGCGTTGCTTCGGCTGCGTCAACTGGCCCTGAGGATACATCTTTTTTCGCGCTGTGCCGCCGTGATGCAGCTAAGCTGGAGGTGGAGTAGCCTTCCCCACCTCCAAGCCAGAAACCGCCCTCTTTTGCCGGATTTTATCTCCCGCGGGAATCCACGACGGTTAAAAATTGTCTGCCCCAGCACGTGGATCTTATGGCCGAGCTAACCTCCTCCTGGTCCCGTCCATTGTCCACCCGCGTCACCGTACCCGGTTCTGGTCAATTCACGGAGTTGGACGGAGCGGAGGCGGCCAGCTTGGTAAACTCCCCGCTTATGGAGCCCTCGCTAACGGCTTATTTAGCCCCGTCACACAACCTCGGCTCAACCGGCCCAACCCTGCCGTCTAAACACTGCAGATTCTCCACCGGTCAGCTGGACAAAATTTACCAGGCACAAGCGGGCGCCGCGCGTGTCCTCAATCCCCTGTCCATGCTCCTGACTTACCAGGCTATCCAGCTCATGGAGCTTGACAGCCGGCTGCCTCCCGACAGCCCGCTGACACCCACCATAAGGGAGCTAAGAATTACGATGGACTACATCCTTCGCTCGGCTCTCTACCTCGGCAGGGGCATGGCGCACCGTCATTTGTGGCACACTCTGTCCGATATTCCGGACAGGGATAGGCATTGCATTGCATATCTGGACGAGCCAGTATCACCGGCGGGATTGTTTGGCTCCTCACTCGACGCCATCCAGGCCAAGTTCAAGCTCAGGCAGAAGCAGACGGAGGCTCTACAGAATCTTATCCCCAGACGTGATGCCAGACCCAGGCAACCAGCTGTGGCTCGCAAGCCCATGGGCCCCCCTCCTCCCCCCAAGAGGAGAGACTCCTCGGCCTCTTCCGGCCCCCACCCGGCTAAACAGACATCGGACCAGACCCCTCGTCCCTCAGCCTGGAGTAAAGGTTCACCATCAGGCCTGAAGGGCTCAGCGCCCTGGAGGAAGATTAATCCCCCATCCTAGCCTCAGGGAGGTGGATGGAGGGCTACATGCCGCAGGGAGAGGCTGTTTCCCTCCTCGTTTCGCCGCTAAAAAGGCCGCGGTTGTCTTGTGCTCAGTCTCCCAGCCTCAAAAGACGCTGTACTGTTGCCACTCAGTCTCCCAAGCACTTAACCCCCTCATGTTCAGACGCACTGCCTCTGCCCCCACTTATGACCACTATGTGTGCTCAAAATGTTCAGTTAAACACTGTGTGTTCCCCAACTGTTAATCTTCTCAATGCCCCAATAAAGGTGCACATTGTTCATGGTACAAGTGTTGTAAATGTTCATTGTACAGAATCAACAATAAAATACACACCACAAACAATAAATCAAAATATAATAAACCAGAGGAGTCTGGTAGTGTCACCCCACCCCGGCCTGCTAGAGGGCGTAACGGGCTTCCAGGGCCGACTGGCAGGGCATCTCCCTCAGTGGCGCGCATGCGCAGCCTCCCTGTGGGTACAACAAACCGTTGCCAATGGTTACCAGCTACAGTTCCGGGTCAGACCACCGCGGTTCCACACAATCGTATACACGGTGGTGAATGGCGACGCAGCTGCAGTCCTGGGAGAGGAAGTGAAATCCCTTTTAGACAAGAAAGCGATATGAGAGGTTCCCCCTTCAGAGGCGAACAGAGGCTGGTACAGCCGCTACTTTGTTGTTCCGAAGAAAGGGGGAGCTCTTCGTCCAATTTTGGATTTGAGGGTGTTAAACACGTACCTGCGGAAATACAGGTTCAAGATGTTAACACTAAAGCAGTTGCTAGCTGCTATCAATCCGGGGGACTTTTGTGCGTCAATAGACTTGACCGACGCTTATTATCATGTAGCTATACATCCAGACCACAGACAATTTCTGAGGTTTGCTTTCGAGGGGACGGCCTACGAATACCTCGTACTGCCGTTCGGTCTTTCCCTGGCCCCTCGGACATTCACGAAATGTGTCGAGGCAGATCTAGCCCCGCTGCGAGTGAAGGGCGTCCGCATATTGACATATCTGGACGACTGGGCTCTGATCGCAAACTCCAGAGAGTGTTTAGGGAGGCAGTTAACAATGACTCTTTGCCACATCCGTGCACTGGGTTTCTCAGTAAACCTTCAGAAGAGCTCGCTGACTCCCAGCCAGCAGTTTTCTTTCCTCGGGCTGGAAATATGCACCGCCTCCGGCAGAGCGCGCCTCTCGGAACACAGTCCTACAACCAGTGGGCATGATGGCTTCTATGATAGCAGTGGTACCACTGGGACTGCTGAAAATGAGGGGTTTTCAGCGCTGCTCTCGTGCACCCTCAGTGTCCCCTTCAAAGGAAAGTGTCGGTAACTCCCGCCTGCATGACCGTGCTCCTCCCATGGAGGGAACCTGGTCTGCTGCGTGTGGGCTCGCCTATCGGGAGGGTGACTTCCCGCAAGGTCGTCTCCACAGATGCCTCCCTAAGAGGGTGGGGGGCTCTGTGCGACGGTGCAGCAGTGAGAGGGGTCTGGACACAGGAGCAAAGCAGGCTCCTCATCAATTATCTGGAGCTGCTGGCCATCTTTTTGGCGGTGAAGCACTTTCGTTCAGCCCTGACAAGCCAACACGTTCTGATCAGGACGGACAACACAACAGTGGTCTCCTACATAAACAGGCAGGGGGGGACTCGGTCCCTTCTCCTGCTGAAGTTGGCTCACTCTCTGTTAACATGGTGCAGTATTCACTTGTTGTCCCTCAGGGCCACACACATACCGGGCCACCTGAACTTGGGACTGGACCTCCTCTCCAGAGGGGGTCCGCTGGCGAACGAGTGGAGATTGCATCCATGAGTGGTGGGTCAGATTTGGGAGTATTATGTGAGAGCAGAGGTGGACCTGTTTGCCTCCAAAGAGAATGCTCACTGCCCTGTTTTTCTCTCTGAGAGATCGAGACGCGCCTCTGGGAGTGGATGCGCTAGCTCACCCATGGCCCAACACCCTCCTGTATGCATTCCCCCCGCGGAAATGATACTGCCGGTGTTGGAGAGAGTACGGCGCCAGAGCCTAACTCTGATTTTGGTGGCTCCACAGTGGCCAACGAAGTCGTGGTACGTGGAGGTTATCAGTCTGCTGGCGGAGAGACCCTGGCAGCTCCCCTTGTGCAGGGACCTCCTTTCCCAGGGGGGAGGAGAGGTGTTACACCCGCGCCCAGAGCTGTGGCGGCTGCATGTATACCTGTTGAGAGGTCCAACCTGATGGCTCTGGGTCTGCCCCCCGGTGTGGTGGAGACGATCCAGAGTGCCCGGGCACCATCAACCAGAGGTTTGTATGCCTGTAAGTGGCGTGCATTTGAGGTATGGTGCCAAGAACGTAACATGGTCGCCTTCCAGTGCTCTATGGTGGATGTATTGACGTTTCTACAGGAACTGTCAGATAAAGGGCTGTCCTTCTCCACTATTAGAGTTTATATGGCCGCTATTTCAGCTTGTCATATTGGTTTTGATGCAGGGGCTCATCGCCTTGCCATGCGTTTTCTGAAGGGTTTGCGCTGGCTTAAGCCTGTGGTTAAGCCTGGTGTTCCTTCATGGGATCTGATTTTGGTTTTGGAAGCTCTCTGTGAGCCTCCATTTGAGCCTATTGAGTCGATAGATATGAAGATCCTTTCATATAAGACTGCTCTTCGCCTCAGCTAAGCAGGTGGGTGACCTCCATGCTCTGTCTGTGCACCCTTCGTGCACCCAGTTCACCCCAGATGGTTCCAAGGTAACATTACGACCTAACGCTGCGTATTTACCTAAGGTTATCCCTGCAGACTATTGCTCCATGGCTTTTGACTTGATGGCTTTCTGTCTTCCTCTGTTTGTCACTGAGGAGCAGAGGAAGTTGCATTGTTTGTGCCCTGTGCCTGCGTTGCGCTCGTACATGGAACGTACCAGGGGTGTGCGCTTGTGTGTCCAGCTATGTTTCGCCAATCCGGTTAGGGGTAAGGCTCTGTCTAGACAGCGTCTCTCCCATTGGATTGTGGAGGCGATTTCTCTTGCATACAGCAGCAGAGGCCATCAGCTGCCCCAGGGTGTGAGAGCTCACTCCACTAGGGGTATGGCTACGTCTTGGGCCCTATTCAGGGGGGTGCCTGTAAGTGATATTTGTGCTGTGGCCAGTTGGGCATCGCCACACACTTTTGCTCGGTTCTATCGTCTGGATGTGACAGCCCCTTCGGTGGCTCATTCTGTCCTCTCAGCCGGCTGTGCGCCCTAGTGCGCTGGGGGAGGTTTTATAGTTCTGATAGCTGCTTGCAGGGCGCGATTATAGGTCCCATATACAACTGTGTGTTGTACCGAGTGAATCGACTGAAAGGGAACGTAATGTTATGACTATAACTACTGTTCCCTGAAGGAGAGGAACGAGGTACAACACCACGTTTGCCCCGCGGCGCAGCCGGGCTCGGTGAAATGCAGCTGTCGAACTGGGGATGGAGCTGACGACCGGCCTCTTATGCACTGTGTAAATACTTTACCGTATGTACTCATGTGTTTGTGGTAATTATTTGGTTTTAATCAGTGTACAGTTGTATTTGATTCTGAATGTTTTTTGGGTTTGTTGTCATGCTGGTAACTGTTCCACCCTTGAATGTCATGTGTTGGCCCGCCTCATGGGAAAGGGAGGTTACTTAAGTTCTTTTGTATTTGTTTCAAGATTACAGGAGTCCCACCCTGTTAGTGTGTGTTGAAACTGAACTTCAAGAAATTGAGTGCTGAGTTTCCAAGAATTTCAGGCAAAGCTTTTCACAGAGCTTTTACACAAGGGAAGATGGTTGTGGCAGATTGCAAAGTGATCTCATGAGTCAAAGCAAAGCTGCTGTGGAGGCAGAGGGCAGTGTGACAAGAAGCAGTGAGAGTTAATGGGATTCTACTGGTGCAGCAGGTGCCAAATAAAAATGTCAGTCCAGTGTGTGACAATACCTGTATGAAGGCAGTGGCCGTGCCCCGGAGGCGGCTGGCTGAGTCTCCGGTCCTGGCCAGTAGGTTAGGCCAAGTCTGATCTATGCAGTGGGTCACCTCGGTCCGGCCCAGCCCCAGACCTGGGATCAGCTGATTCAGCAGTAGCCGCAGCAACTTCAAGGAGGCGTGGAAAACCTAAAGAGAGAGCCAGTGGATGTTTAGCTCCAAACTTAGTGGACTTTCCAAGAAAAATTAGCAGCAGGGCGATATCAATTAGCAGAGAGGCTCGACTTGGCAATGTTTGGTTTTGGTTGATTAGTGTATGCAGATGAAAAGTGACAATCAGTTGAAAGATGCCGACTAACCTCTTCTTCATAGGTCAACTGGATTACAAGCACATTGTCAATATTTGTGGAATTGTAATGTTTACAGGGTAGATTTAGACTGGAAAGACATATAACAAACACCCTGGGCTACATTCAGACTCTTACAGCACTGAGCTGCCAGAGAAAGGTGTATTTAACATAAACTGAACTGAGGAACATTTGCAGAGTGGCAACTTAACCAGCTGACTTCTTACTGGAGCATTCTGTGTATCATTGCCTCTAGGAAAATAAATCACTACAAGTATTGCAGCACTACTCTTTTCATTACCATACAAGCTATAGACGACTTACAGAAAGGGGTTACAAGGCCATCCTTGTCAAAACTGTTTATTTAAGGAAGCTGGCTCTGGGAGAGAGAACTGGGGTTGCACATGGGACAAGGGGAACATTGTTAAGAGTGTGCATGTACAAGTGTGTGCTTATGATTTCACTACATGGACGTTAGTAACAGGAATCCAGAGAACATGATTTATAAAAGGCTTAGACAGTGACAAAGTAAATATATCCATAACACCTTAACAGGGCTGCTTTACTGGCAGCAGTTTCTGTTAAATTAATAAGGGCATTCACAGCATCCACACTGGGACAATTTCCTGTTGAGGACATGACTCACAGATGACACTTTGTCCAGGAGGGCCCTCTTGACCAGGAAGACTGCAGCTCTTATCATGTTTCTCAGCTCCTCCTTCGGGGTGGTGGGGGACAGCCCCATAAGCTTCTTGTGCACAGCCAGGAGAGCATCCTCTCTGTAGGACCAGGTTTTGGAATACGCCCCAGCCACCTGGAGGAGAGCAGAAAAGATTAGCAAAGGGGCAGGAAATATATTTACATTAGTAAACATTCTTATTTATATATTCCAGCAGATGCAGATAGAGATTCACACATACTGTATGCTGTGTTCTATATAAAGATCATACATTACAAACACATACATTTCCCAATAAATGTATACGATGTCTTAAAGCTACGCTAATCAATATTTTCTATATGATCAACAAATCAAATGACTATATGGTATGTGATATATGTTGGCACCCGACCAGTTCCCATCAGCTTGAAGGAGTATTTAGCTAATTATTAGCTGATTGCTTTGGTTTGCCAGCCCACAAATTCCACTCTCAGCAACCCAGTTTCCCGCAGCTGGAGGGAAATCTTTTCAGCAAGACACCTCTGATAAAACCAACTGTACAGTATCTGTCCAGCACCACAGGGGAGAACAGACGAAGTTAGAAACTAGCTGAAATCAAAGCTGAGCATCTTGCAGCTATAGAGCTGAATCATTTCCTCACGAGCTTATGGAAACCAGAAAAGAACTAAAAGGAGAGTGAATATTAGATTCTTTGGTACAGGTTATAGTGTATTGCAAACTTTCTTCTCTCTGGTAGATAAACTACGTGATATTGACACTTTTTTTTAAAGTTACCACCAACATTGGTATTTCTGAACTGCTGAATCATGTTACTTATCATTTAAACTAATACAAATATATCTGGGACTAGCTAAAACAGGGCAATACTATCCGACTATAGTGCAAAGTACAAAAAATCCTGAAGTGATACCCAAAGGTAATTTTCAGAGGACATATGTAAGAATAAAAACCTGAGAGAAAGTGAAACCCCTAGTTAGATTATGCCAGATTTTACCTCTGTTGGTGCACACTCCTATGAACTTGATCATTTGGTGTAAGGTGGTAATAATAGTAATAATAATAGTTCGAGCTGTCACATGTTTAATATTTCTGTACGTTTTAGTCGTGGCCCATGCATATACTGGAGTTAAATGGCATGGACACTGTCAACAACCAATAGCTGCACTCTCACTAGCACCAAAAGCAGCAAACCGGGTAGACAGTAAACATGAAGGGGACCCCAGCAAGGCGTAAGAACATGAACAAGCTTTGGTTTTATCATAATGTGGAAAACAAGGACAGACTGGTGGAGTTGAGGAGTGAACAAGGGTTGGTCTTTAACTTAGTTAGTTAGTTTCTGTTAAACATGATATGAGAGGACGTCAGACTACAGTATTTTAACAGTATTTTCAAAGTCATTTTAAAGTCTTCTAATGTATGGTCTAAGTTTTTCCACCTTTTTTTCTTACCAGACTTTCTCCATACACCTCTATTGGAAGGCCAGCCTCTCTCTGGGCCTTCTCTGTCAGAAGCTCTGGCTCTCCGCTTATCTCAGGGCTGCGTGGGGTCCTTTGGGCGTCAGAATGGGGGGAGTGCTGCTCTGCAGGGCTTGGGGTGGCCTCCAAAGGCCGCTCTTTCCTCTGAAGGGCTGGTAGAGGCCTCTCATCATAAGGCACACTGGTAACCTGTCCGCACAAGATAACAACATTGCTATTCAAAGCTAGGAGTACAATATTTAAGAACAGTGGCTAGTTGAATTTACAGTAACTGTATATATATTTCTCAGCAGACAAAATAACACTCCTCAGTTCAAAGCTTTAAAGAAAACTGATCTACACTTTCATGTCTGACAAGGATGTCCATCCTTTTGAAATATTGATCATCTCTACCCATGTTCTTTTCACTAACTCTCACTAGCATTTGATCACTGAATAGGTCCATCATTCAACATTATGCTGACAATGAATGTTTAACCCCATCTATACAAACCCAGTCTCCATCCAGTCCGCGCTGTCTCCTGTGCAACAGGGCCAACTGGCACCCTGCTGCCTCGCACAAGGCTCAAAGCCCTGCCCTGAGGCCAGGTTGGCAGCCGCTGGAGTCAGTCAGCTGTTGCACGCTTTTAATTAAATAGTGAAACCCAAACCTGCAGTAGGGGCTGTCTCAGTGGGTGGTGAGTAAAGCATAAAAGCCCCAACTGGTCATAATCTCCCTATGTGCTCCATGTTCCAATACTATAGAGGCTTAAGGCAGGAGACGTGTTCCCAAGGTGCTAGATTATTTTTACAGCAATAAAGAAATTCATGCAAGCAGAACAAGCTCCAGCTGTCTTCAGCTACATCATTAGTATATTAGAGTATCGGACAAGTTGTTTCTGTTTTTAAGTGTGTGCCGCTGTTGGACATAAAGATGTGATGTGTTGCATCATCAGCGCATTTGATGAAGTGTCACTTACATCTATCTTTGGTACTGCAGCAGGGGTGCACGGTGTGTCAGGTAAGCTGCTTAGTTTGGGCACCACAGTTTCTGCATCTGGCTGTTGGTTCTGAGGAGCGTTAGTTTTTTTCCCCTTCCTGGATGTGTCTGTGGACACAAGGGGCTTGGTGGGGGCTGAACGGTGACCTGGAGAAGGCAGAACGGAGGGAGGATCCTGGGCTGGGGATGAATCTGCAGCCCGTGTGATCTGGTGACATGGTGGGAGGACAGAGCAGAAATCATTTTAGGTAGAATAAATAATGTTTTTTCCCCATATCCCATAATTTCTCATTTTGTTTAACACCAACACATCTTCAAACAGTCTGCCTGCTGTTACTACACAGGTGAAGCACTGCCATCAGTGGTTGGTGACTGGCTGACCGTTGCCATGTCCAGCAGGTTGTGGACCTCCAGCTGCTGGTAGACGCTCTTCCTGTACTCCTCCATCAGCTCCTTCTTCTTCTTGGCCAGGTCATAATCTTCCTTTTCGATCGCACATCGCTTCTCCACGTCATATCGAGCCAAACGCTCCCCCACCTGAAAGAGCCCGGGACAAGCAGAGGTAAAGTAAGCCCTACAGTAAACATGGAAGCTGTTGAATAAGTCCGCTCATGGTCTCATGACGTCTTGGATTTATATCAGTGTGTGCCTCAACTGACTAAACGTTGATTTAATATTTACTACCTTTACCTAGCACTACTGACAGTTTCAAGGATTATTTTTCATCTTGTGTACTTATTTTGTAGGTGAAGGTAGAGGTCCTGATGAAATAGCTACTGCACTTAGAAACATAAATCATCATTTTTCAAATTTGAAAAGGTTTTGGTTCTGGTCTTAAACATGTACTCCATCTTCTCTGGTGTTCTTGGCGTGGTATTTTCCTAAAGGAGTACTCCAGTTTATTACAACTTTGATCTTATTTTCATACTTAATGATAATATTCTGACCAGGTTAATTGCTGAGCTCTGAGAAAGTCGTGACATGACTAAAAACAAGTTCAACGGGGCAAGAAACATGAGCAGTCATGTGACTAGACAGGTTGTGAAGAAAACCCCAAATTAGTCAAACTTATCAGGAAGAGAAAACAAAGCTGAACAGTAAAGCTATTACCCAAATTGGTAGCTGTAAACATCCATCTCTGTTTACTGGTCAACATTCTGGTACAACTTCAACCTACTGTTGTAAACAGCTTGTTTACAACCTGTCAGACTGTAAAAATGCTTGTATGCTTGGAACAACTAAACATGGATACATGAACAAAACAATGGAGAAGAGCAGTTACAAAACAGCAGTTAAAGCAGTTCTTTTAAGCATCTTTCATAACTTTTTTATGGAGAAATAGTTTTTTGCCAGGTGGGAAAAATCATTCCATAATTTGCCTCTCCCAAATCTTATTGAAAAAGGAAGAAGATCATAACATTGACTAGTTGGGTAAGACGGCAACTGCGAATTGGCTTTAAAGTAAATCTTGAATGCTCAGGAATATTCTCTTCACTTGAATGTATCTCATAATAGAGAACACACATTTGAGAAATACTTATGTCATAAACAGTAAGAATCTAGAGTGTCTAAAATAGAGGGGCAGATGACATGTAAGACTCTAGCAAAACATTTCTGGAGAACTAAAATTTTGTGGGGAGTTGTACTGATGTCACTGAGTTCCCAGAGCAATTTCAGCAATTACTTTGAGCACAGTGTTATCATAACCAACAGCATAAAATGGCCAAAGCTACTCAAACAGGATCCAAATTCTAATTACCCATAATTATTCTTTAAACCCAACTGGAACTGGTTTGGGAATGGGCTTAGACTAGACATGGGCAGTTCTGCCCTGCACAATAACACAGCCCTGGTGCGGCATAACACTAAATGTGCCACATAGTGAATCATTAAGATTTATAGGCTGAAAATTTGACAACAGCTTCCAGTAAGTCAGGAAATTCCATAAAGCTGTATTAAGTTGCCAAACAGGATGCCAAGCCACGTGGTCATCGACACTCAGTGAGTCTTGCTCTTTTTTGGACAAGTGGTGCAATTAACATGGCAATTGTTCCTCCAATTTATGCCTAAGATCTCCAGCAAGTAGTTCTTTCTACTTGATGAGCATCTCTGCTTCCTCCAATCTAAGTAGAGTTGCTCAAACAAAGCTAAAGAAATAAACCAGGCCAATCCTCTGCCTTTTGTGCTGTCTTCTTTCTGTCTAGTGTTTTCAGATATCATGTATTGCTAAAACAACCATCCTCTGACATCCTGAGGGTGAGATGACAAGGGATTTTCAGCATGACTACCTTGGCAACTGCTTTGTCTGCAATGTTAATACGCCATGCTAACAAGGTGCAAGTGTAGGTGTGTTTGTGTGTTATCTGGTTACTGAAAGGCTTGTGGCTGGGAGTGGGAGACACACTACCCAAGGACCATCACTGCAGCTGTTGAGCTTATTAAGAATTCATGGTCAGCATGGTAACGCTGTATACAAAGGAGGTCAGTGACAGGAATCTGAACAATGTTTAACAACTACTGTTACGAACAGTGGTGAAATAACACTGGATATCTATAAAAGGAATACAAGCCTCACTGAGTTGAGATTTGCAAAGGAGAAATTATTATCAGTAGTAGTGGCAGTGGGTGGATGGTGATAGCCAGCCCTGAATTATGTCCCTACCAATTGTTTGCAAAGTAAGAAGAGCCATCAAAAGCCAGTAGAGATAACATGGCTCAAAAGAAGCCCATAACAGTGGTGGAGGAGGGTTTGTTATGCATCATATTTAATGAGAACATTACATGTTTTGCATGTAAAATCTTTATCTGCAGAGTAACTAGTAACTGTAACTGTGAGATAAATATAGTGAGGGTACACTATTTTCCACTGAAATGTGGTGGAGCAAAAATCTAGTAGGGTAAATGGACTTCTTCACATTCAACCACTGGTTCAGGGAGTATAGATCCTGGTATTTTCCTGTAAATTCTTACCGGAATCTGCTGCCTTTTGCTGAAAAAATCTTCCAGTAACCAGGGAAATTTAGTATATGTGTGCCTGTGTGTTCACATACTAATTATTTGCACTGAAACTAAGGCACATTGCCTGAACCCCATTAACACAATGCAACTGTCATGGCTACATATTTAAGACCAACCTTAAAATGCCATTATGGTAACATAGATCAGCTGTTCTGCAGCAGATTGTCCCTTTACTTTCATGCTAAAATGGCAGTTTACAATCCAGCTGTGGGGAAAGTATTCTTTAGAATAGATGTGAATGAAGCACAGTGCAAAATATGTCATACAAGAGGCTTATAGGAGTAGTACAACATTTTGTGAGTTATGCTTGATCGCTTTCTTGCTGAGAGTTATGTGATAAAAGTGACACCATTCTCATGTTTGCTCAGTAAAGAGCACGACCTGGAAGACAATTAGTTAAGCTTAATGATAATAGGGTCTTAAATATAAATCATTTAAGACTTTTTCAGCCTGTGAGTAACCCATTAAAAGAGAACACATCCTGGTATGTGGTGGTGCATACTGCTCAATCATGTGAGCAAATATTTGGTGTACTGTAGCCACACAGTCTGCCTCCCAGCAGCTAGAGTACCTTTTGCAGATCTGCGATGGCCTGCTTCAGATTCTTGGCCTGCTCGAATTTCTCTTGCCGCACCATGTCCTGCTTCTTTTGGTCCAGGAGTCGGATGATGTGGGCAACTTCGGGGTCCTGGTACATGTCGAAGGCGAGGTCGTCCAACGGGGAGATGGACTCACATTTGCTGGGAGAAAGACAGGACACAAAAACAGCATATGAAACATTTAATTTTACACAAAAACACTGTTCTGTCAGGTCTGAGGTTGTAACAGTTGTGAAACATGTTGGACACAGAAAACAGAGCAGACGATTTGGTGCCTAAATTCATTTGAGGTAATGCAAGTGAAGAACACAAGTGTCATTATCAGTTAAATGGGCCCAGTATTGTGCAAATCTTGATCAAAGGAGAAAAACACTGACTGACCCCCAAAGGAGTGAGACCCTGAGGTGAAACGTCCCTTGGGGGTTGATATATCAAAAAAAAGAGATATTTCGAAATGTGTTTTCCTCTTTGCACGAACCACCACCTGCATTGTCTTCAAATGCGAGTGACCTTGAATGCCTTATTGGTTTTCTTCCAGACTAAATGGCTTTGTTGAGCAGTGTTATTGTCACAAAACAAAGAAACCAGGGTTCAATGGCCTAGCCTCACCCCATGAAGGTCGTGTCCAAGGCGGCCTCCAGCTGGGTACTGTTGAGGTAATGTTCGATCAGCTGCTCTCTGCTTGGCTGGGGGTAAACAGATGGACAAATTACACACACGTGCATATATACACTTGTATCACTGTGCTTGGGAAGACCTGATAATTGTTTTCTAATCCCATTAGCTTTGAGGTGACCTTGAACTTAAACCCTGACCTTAACCTAAAACTAATCAAGACATTGCCCTTTCAAAAGTGACGACCAGCCAGAATGACCATAACCAAAAACTCGTTGGACCTTAAAATGGCAGCAATACAAGCACACTCATTCACTCACACACACACACACACACACACACACACACACATCCAAACCCAATCATTAATCAGCTCCAGGCTACTGCCATATATGGAGAATTGTAATCCACTGCGCACACTGCTGTCACCTGAAGTGTTAGGTGGCCAGTCATTATCAGAACAGGAAACACTGCCTACTAATGGCATCATTCTTGCAGTACTTCATGAACACAAAACCAGCATTTAATATGTTGAGGATTAAACTTGCTGTTGGCCAATAATAAGTGGGAACAAGAACAATATAGTACACTTCACTGATCATACAGTATGTAGTTATTCTGCCTGATATGAAAAGATACAACATATTTCAAGAGGACAAAAGGCAGTGGAACATTTCCAAGAGGAAATAAAAAGCAGTGATGGAAAGTCCCTTGATTAAACTAGCCTACTTCATTGGTTAACTGTTAATGTCACATAATCTAGCATTTACACAGACTAGATTTGATGTTTTTGGACTGGCTCTAAGCACATTTAATGTCATGCCAAGGATCTAATTCTTAAAGGGCCAATGCACCCAAATTACAAAAAACCCCACTCCAATAAAATAGAGGTGAATGGACTACAGTATAAACTATGCACAGCATTGGAAAGTCATGTTTAAAAATTCAACAGCAACTTGGTACAGCTCATCTGAAAACAATATGGCAGCCAGCTCATAACTAATGATCTCATATTACAATGAAACTGTAAGCTTAAATATGTTTCTGGAAAAAATTGAGGCCAGATATAGGCAATAAAATCAGTTCCAGTATCTCATATTGGATCACCACTGCCTAGTTTTACCATTTGATTGGTGTTTGGTCCTGTTTTACTTACTGTGTCTGTGATGGCAGCAGGAGTACAAAAATCACACCAAAAAATAAATGAACCAAGTTTGCGTAAGCCCAAAATGTAAAAGTAATGTCAAAATGAAGAATCTGATTGCACTTTATCAGCCTCGTTTAAAGCCTGAAGACTGGCATAACTGGAGAGCAACAGCATGGAAAGATTAAAAGGAAAACTTTTACCTCCACAGAGCAGATTTATAGCATGATGGAGAGTTAATGGAGGCCATGACGGTAGCTTTAACATGTGACAGCAAAAAAAACCCTTCTGTTTACCATCAATCATCACACCTTCTCAATGCTGTGAGCACTAGGAACAAAATTCCATCCATCTACATTGCACCAGAATGAAGGCAGAGATCTCAAAGACAGATCTGTGTGGACAGATACCCCCTAGAGGTAAGTGAGAAGATATTTTTTTTCTTCATAATTTGGATGAACCGTCACTTTTAAAGCAGTACATTTTTCCTGTATCCACACACAAACACACACATAGTGTCCCTCCACAGGACAAACACAACTTCCACTCACAGAACAGATATAAGAGAACAAGATCTAGCCGACCCTCCAGGCAAGATCACTGCCGCGGTGGAGGTCCTCAGAGTCGGATTAGTGGAGCAACAATGCACAGCCTGTTCACTGGAATCTGTGTGAGAGTGTGTCCATGTCTTTCCATGTCTCTGTGTCAGTGTGTGTGTGTGTCTTAAGGTGCTCTCTCTCCTCCAGGACCTGTCTGTCTGCAGGACTATCTGATTACACTGGCTAACTAAAGGCCTCCTGTGTGATTATATACTGTCCTCCCTTTGTGTCTCATTACTACATTCCTGACACATATACACGCACCTACACACACACACCATTCAGGGAAACACGTGTGAATATAGACATGCTAATGTGGTGTCTTTGGATCAGTAAATACCAACAAATACCACATAAAATACCCACGCAATAAATCTATTTTATGTTATGTCTATCATATCTATACAGGTCAGTCTAGTACACCAATAAGTACTGCTTCAAAACTTACAGGTAAGCTGAATCAACTCTCCTGCATGGTCTCAACAAATTTTAAGCTTCACATTATTCAGGGCAGTTGTACTAGATTTGCATCATATTGTGTTGGTATTATTTCTCTATCCCCATTAGTATTTCTACTTTGTATTCTAACAAAAAAAGAAAAATATTCAACTTTGCACAGAGAAAAGAGCATGATAACAGGAAAAAACAGAACAAATTAATTATTAAATTATTTAAATACAATATGTGACAAATACTTATTTCCCCTATTTTGTTTGTTAAAACTGTATCCTATTTAAACATGCCAAAAGTTCAAACTGTCAGTGCGTGACATGTCAGTGGATGAGGAAATGTCAATCAATCCTATTCTAAGTGACTGATGACGGAGCAATGTCACTCAAAACCACAGCACAATAGCCCCACCTAATGATGTGGTGATGCAAGTTCAGTGATGGGTGACTGACAAGAGTGCCAACTTACAATTGTGTTAAAAGCATTGCCATCCAAAGAATCTCCCAGAACATTAATGGCGACCAAAGCAACCTGAAATCATAAACAAATGTTGGTGAAGTGGTTGAACAGAACTACAAGAGAAAATCAAAAATCAGTGCATGTGATAAATGGGTGTGTTGGGAGGCTAACAGTAGGACTGTTTTACTAGAGTTTAAAGGATAAGGCTGGTGAAAAACTAAAAAGGAACAATTAATTTATCCTACTAACAAGTACTTGCCATATTTTCAAGTCTACTCTAACTTATATCTCTGTGCCATAGAATTCAATTGCTGTCCAAAAATCAGTGAGCCACACTGGGCGAGGTGTTTCTTCTTTATGATGAACATACACAATACAGTTTGTTTTAAATCAATCCCAGATACAAAGTCCTGCTGCTATAAATACTGATTAAAGCACCAAATGTGTACTATTCCACTGTTGAAAGAAGTACCAACGGTGTGTCAAAAACAACAGTGTCCTGCTGTTTTGGGAAATCTTTATTCTCATAGAAATTTGCCTATAAATTTAAGACATGTTTTCAAAGACTCAGACTTTCAGTGGGAACTAATGGAGCTTGGGAAGTACTGAGAGAGATTCACTGACACATTGTTGGTTTAAGTTTTTTCATGGGATTCGCTGCTTATTCGCTGTAAGAAAAACACCAGCCCTATCCTTTGAGTAAAAAAAAAGAAAAAAAGAAGAAAGAAAATCATGACCTTGCTACCACTTCATTTCAAAAACTATCACTTTAATGGAACCTAATTAGTTGGAGGTAATAGGCAACATCAAACAATACTGCTGCATGACTCACAAGCAACGTAGAGCAACACATAAACCATGCCGTTCAGTTATGATGAGTCTTCTGCATCAGACAGAGGCAGTGAAACAGTAGTATAGGTACATGTTAACAGACTACCTGATTGTGGTGATTGTAATGGTTGACATGGTTCCTATGGAAGGTTATTCTCAGGTACGTCCCGACGGCGTCTACATGGACTGACTTCAGCTCCCGAGCTTTGAAGCCTGTCTTCTCATTGTCCGACAAAGACACATACCTGTGGTGACAGTGCAGTATTGCTTTTCAGTTCAACTCATCTGCTGAGATATACAAGAGTAAAATGCAATTCTACATTTGAATTCTGTGATGATACACTGCACAGATACTTTGTTTATCCCTGTGGAGTAATTCATACTTGATATTTAGAGGGGGAACAAGTCCAATTGTGTGCCAGTGGCTTGAGCCTGTGGTGTGGGCAATGATGTATGTGTTTTCCTTCAGAGAAGTTAAAAGCTATGGCCTGAAGACCAGAAACCATCAACATCCACCTTTTCATATTTACCAGTAAGATATTACTGAACCCAGCTGATGGCTGCGTCATTGTAACCAATGGCTCTTGATTTGTATGGCAAAATATTTTTGGAGATCCAACATGACTATGCCATAGAGCTTTCCTGCCTCCTTCCAATTGTGGTTAGTTAACATCAAAACCAGATCACAAGAACAAAGCCAAGTGTCTAAAGAGCACCATCACCAGGTGCCCAAACAAGACAGTCCCCACCAGAAAAAGCCAGCAGACAGCACTAATCATTTAATCACTTGAGCACTAAAAAATGACATATGTTTGTGTATGCTTTATCATTCCAATATCCTTAACCATCTTGTATGTATCTAATGTGCAGCACTGGTAAAAAAAGTCAAAAAAAGTCAAAATTGGGCCTGGCCGAGTTTGCAGTCTCACCCGAGTCTGCGAAGCTGGCCAGGGATCCCTGAGGTGCTGGTTTCAGGGAGGGTGTCTCCAATGTGGAACTCCACCTTGGCTGGGATCAGGTACTGGTGGGCCAGCAGTTGCAGTTTCCTCACCCTGCTTCTCTCCACCAGCTGGAGGGTGATGTGCTGAGGGTAGGCGCACCGCCTGCGAAATATTTGGTTCACATAATGTTGAGTTTCTTTAAGAGTTTAGAACAAATTAACAAAAAGCTGCCTGGGTTTTGTTACTTTATCAGCTGAGGAAGACATGAAGTTGCGTAGATGAATGTGACATGTTTTAAGTGCCGTATTAATATACCTGCTGGATCTCCAGCCATTGACTGTGGGTGCATGGACCATGAGCTCCTTGGCACTGAAGTTGTCCTCATGACTTGAAGAGTTAATCACAATGAATCCTATCTTCCTGGGCATCCCTCTGATGGACACTGAGACAACACAAGTAAGAATTCTGAACGAGTGGTGGTGCAGTTGTTAGCATTGTAGCCTCACAGCAAGAGGGTTCCTTGTTTGAACCCCAGTGTTGGGGAGCCCTTCTATGCAGAGTTTGCATGTTCTCCCTGTATCAGCATGGGTTTTCTCCGGGTACTCCATCTTCCTCCCACCATCCAAAGACATGCAGGTTAGGGTTAACTGGTGACTGCCGTAGGTGTGAATGTGAGTGTGAATGATTGTCTGTCTCTATGTGTCAGCCCTGTGATAGTCTGGTGGCCTGTCCAGGGTGTACCCTGCCTCTCGCCCAATGTCAGCTGGGACAGGCTTAAGCCCTCCTGTAACCCCCAACAGGATAAGCGGTTATGGAATATTAAAGAATGAATGAATATTCTATAGGCCTGGAATTTGTGTTTACGGGCATCTGCATCTTCCATTGCACTGACATAACGCCTGGAGCTGCTCTAATGACATTAAGTGACAAATTAATTGTGGGCCTCTATATTGTAAGTTCGACATCTACATCAGGAATCTACATCTTCATTATTTCTGGGTATCAGACCTCTTTTTCTAGTACCAACTGAAATATATCAATAGCACCGAGTACTCGAACACTGAAACGTGGTCTGGTCAAATGTTCAGTCCAGTTTACTAACTGTAATTCTTCTGACTCTGATCAGACAGCCACAGGTTGGACATCATTTTATTTATGTGATGTTCTTGTGTTGAGCTTGTGTTCAACATTTGAGAACTTGCCTCCTTTTCTGAATTAGGAAAATGGTTATGTAGAAACAAATGTGTACACTAATCAAGGTATGGTAATGAAAAAGTACAGTTTATGTATCAGTAACCACTCTCAGGTATTGTATCAGCACTAGTACTGACACATTTACCCAGCCATGTTTTAAGAACATTCTTAAGGACTCTTACATCTAAACCACTAACAACAAGAGGCAAATCAAATATTTAATGTGTCAGTGGGTACACAGCAATGACTTATTTTAAGACAGAATGGAACAGAAACAATATATTTATTAAAGTTCATGACTTTGACAATGAAACAAGATAGTAACAAACTTTGGAAGCAATGCTAAATTGTACTTTTTCCATCATGTATGTGTACTGAAAGCATCATGTCAGTACCGTTAGCTGTAAGCATGCCGAATGCAAGAGGCTTAAAGATTTGTTAAAGAGTTTATATATGTGTCACAAAATAAAGGAACTATTAAACAGCCAGGTTACTGCATTAAGTTGTGCGTATGGTTCTCGTTAAGTAAAATAAATATCCTGAACACGGCTTATACAATCCCTTCAGGTAGGACAGAGAAGCCCTTCTTACAGCCTTGGACATGTTGGGCGGGGGGCATTAACGGTAGCTAACTGTTAACTACTCAATCAGCCAGCATAGCTAGTCTCACAGTACCTGTACTCTAAAGGTATTTTAGCCAGCTAATATCCGATAAATGTCCTGACAACTGTCATTTATTATGTCCAACACTTTGTTGGTATATATTTTAGAGTACATATAAGTTTTCCTGCGTGTATTTCAAAGGTATCTTACCACGAACATCACCGTAATGTTGACAGCTCGTAGTCCCATTTCATCTCCATAACCACCACCGACAACAACCAGCGCGTGCATGCGCAATGGGTAGTGTGTCATCATTCGCTATGGATTGTTGTTACTGTAGTTTTATACGCGTGCAAGCATTTTTGATATAAATCGTTATTTGTTGCAGGCAGCTTTGCCGAGGCCCACCTGTGATTGTTTCATATTTCTGCCTACACCTTACAACTGTTGTATCGATAAGCATTCAAAATATATATTTAAAGCGGTTTTAAAACTTCTTCCTTGTCCTGGGCGAGGAAACTCGGGTGGAGCGTGCCCGTTACTACAGGAAGTTAAAGATTAAGTCTTCAAAATAAAGGCGTCGCGTCTAGCGGTTACTTCGTAAATTTGTAAGTAATTCGCAAATCTAACACTTGTTATTTAAATATTCCACAAAAAAATAAAAAATTTTAATTGCACAGGTAGACACGTACATTTATCATTCACAAACCTATATATTACGAGCATAGTCATTTATTTTGAAATATTCAAACGGATGTCGTGTACTTTAGCGCTCCGACTGTCTTGACAACTGGTGCCTAACAGTATGGGTGACATGGAGAAATGGCCAGAAATAGAGAAAGCAGCTACAGAAAAGAGACGTGAGCTGGTTTTCCAGGGTCCAGGTGTCGACAAGAGAATTTCCTCTAACGGGGGACTCGCCTCTGCTCTGTACTCCCTCACCCTGCTGAATTATCTGGAAGTCAGCCAGTGCCCGAGCTTGACAGAGATCCACGAGGATATCCAACATCTGACAAACCTTCAGAGCCTCATCCTCTGCAGGAACAAACTCGCCTCCATCCCGAATGTCGTCGGTAACCTGAAGTCCCTGAAGGTCCTGGACCTTTCAGTGAACAACCTCAGTGTTTTACCAGAGGGAATCGCACAGCTAAGGGAGCTAAACACTCTCAATGTGAGCTGTAACAACCTGGAGGTCCTGCCAGAGGGACTGAGTCAGTGCACCAAGCTCTCCACCATCAACATCTCCAAAAATCACATCACCGGTTTCCCCGCTGACTTCTACTCCGAGAGGCTGGAACTTCTCAGCACACTGGTGGCCTCTGACAACTCCATTGAACAGCTGAGTGGGGATATTCACAAGCTAGCTGCTCTAAAGGTGGGTCGATCTTCTTTCTCAGATTGTCCAATCACTTCTAATAAACATATCATGTCATCTCTATATAGAGATTTTCTTTCGGAAAACTGCTCCTGGGTGGATCAAATGTACCCCGAATTGTAAAGAAGCTGTCACTATGTTTGGTGCATATATGAAATTATAGTTAACTACGTGTCACATTTCCTTAAATGCAGTGCAGCACAAAAATGTCACATTTTTAAACAGAGTTTCGCAGGTAATCTCCACAGAGAGACTGGCAAGTACGTGTCTGCACCAGCTTACTATAAATGCAGTATATTCTTCTTCTTCTTCTTCTCTTCTTGTTTTTTTATTTACATAATACTTGATTTACGTTTCCAGAGCACCAAACTCAATTTATGCATTTTGTTTTGTCTTCCCAGGTGCTTGATCTCTCCAACAACAAGCTGATTGAGATCCCCTCCGATCTGAGCGACTGCCCCAAGCTAAAAGACATCAACTTCAAAGGCAACAAGCTGAGCGACAAACGCCTGGAGAAGATGGTCAACGGCTGCCAAACTAAATCCATCCTCGACTACCTCAGAGGAAAGGGAAAAGGAAAGGGAGAGGACGTAGGGGAGGCAGACGGGGGTCGCAAGGCAGATAAAGGGAAAAGACAGCAGAGGAAGAAGAAGGAGAAGGTGGCAGAGGATGAAGTGGAGGAACTGAACAAGATGGTGGTGAGGGTTCTCCATGTTTCGGACACTCCTGAAACACTCAATGTCACAGTGAGTGCAGAGGTGAAAGACGTGCGACCATACTTGGTGTGCTGTGTGGTCAGAGGCATGAACCTAAAGCCTGGGAATGCTCTCAAACGTTTCCTGGTGGCTCAGGTAAGGTCAAATCCCTCACAATGTGGTATACTGATTAAATAAGTGTGCAGCATTGTCTCCAAAAATGATTCACCTTTTGATTTTCTAGACAAAGCTTCATGATGACTTGTGCGGTAAAAGGACCACCGCAACTATTGCAACTCATGATGTGCAGCTTCTCAAAGCTCCCCTGATATATGGTGTCAAACCACCTACCCAGCTGAAGGTATGTTCACACACATTGGTTGGCTTATTATTTTCAGATTTCAGTAATCAAATCAGACAGATTACATAATCAGAGCATTCAGAAAATTCTTGTGGTGTGGTCTGTTGTAGTTGTGACTCTCAGGAGCTGTCTGAATTTCACATGAGAACGCAATCTTTGTTAGGTTGTGGCGCTGGGTCGGAAGGAGATGACGGCCGTCGAGCTGATAAGACACCTTCAGCTGGAGGCTGACGAGCTGAGGAAGCAGAAGAAGAGGCAGAATGTCACTGGCCTCCACAAGTAAGTACAGCTTATGACTCCTCTGTAAAATATTTACAACATTAACTAGTTTACGTGTTATTCGCTGTAATCATTTGACATAAGCCACAGAATTTATTTAGAGAGGGATTCTGAGTTGCACTGTGTGTGTATAATAGCTTGCAGGTCAACTTGACATACTAAACTCAGCACTCTGTGGATCAGAAGATGATGTTCAGAAAGTCATATTCTTAATAACAACTTATATAACACAGCCATATGAGGATATGCTTCTAATGGTGTAAAATAAAAGCAAGAAGTGATCAACTGTTTGAAATGCCTTGGAGAGATCCACAAAGATGGCAGCTCAGTGTTTTCTCTCATCCAAGGCATTGACGATGTCATTCATAAACAAGGTGACTGAGATTGTTGCTTTGTGGAGGAAGGAATTCTTAGACCCTCTGTTTATCTTAGAGGCTATGAATTTAAAACATTTAGGTATGGTAACAGCACTTCACACTTCACATGAAAGTGGTGCACAAGACATTTGTGCGACTTGCTGGTTGTTCATTTGAACACATGGGGGCAGTATAAGTGTGTTGGACCAGAAGTGACTTTCTGTAAGTTTCACACACACCAAATGAAAGCTGCAACACAAAAAATCATCACTGTGCGTGACAGCTGACAGCCCCGACAGATATGAATCGAAAGAATGAAGAAAGAACACACTGTCCATCAATTATAGATGTTTATTTTTTTTACAGATACCTGCAGCTTCTACAGGGAAAAACAATGTACCCCTGCCTGGTGGATGCAGAGGGACATGTGATCTCATTCCCACCTATTACCAACAGTGAGAAAACCAAGGTGTGAATTTCTGTTTTCTTCCTGATTATCATAATCATGTCCTCCCAGAAGAGAGGATTTCATATGAAATGCTGTCACACAGTGGAAATGTCCTGTTGTAGCCCACCGCTTGTCTGTGTGTCTTCTCATGATACAATAGAAGTAATTACATGATCAGCTGATTGTACTTTACAGATCAAGAAGACAACCAAAGAGTTGTTCTTGGAGGTGACGAGTGCAGCCAGCCTGCAGACCTGTAAAGATGTTATGGACGCTCTGATTGTTGTAAGCTTTACTTTTTCTCTCTCTTTTCTCCGTCATTAATGAGTCAAGTTTACCACAGCTTGGATTTCATTTTCATAGTTTTGACCATTGTTTCTATTGGTTACAACATCTTTAAATGAGTCTGGTCCAAGACTGGACTTTCATCATAGCTTTTCATGTGAAAACTAAGTTAGATGCTCTGTCACTTTTAGATATTTTGGATTATTAATAGTTTTAAATTAACAATATGCAAAAGATTTGTGGCGCTAGAGGAAGAGCTTATGTAAAGCTCAGTGCTGGTTACATTTTAAAATTTCAGTATTTCCTATGGACAGGTGGCAGTTTTGGTCTGTTAGAGGCTCGAGAGCAAACTTATTTTTAAGTCACCAAAAATATTTGGATTTATCCTTGATCGTGGAGTTTCATAGGTACTTTCATGACATTGTGTTATCTGGTTAAAAGCTTTGAACAGATGGTCATATTTTATTCTATACGTACTGCTGAAACAAAATACAACAATGATTAGCATGTAGTTCATACTATAGAGAATCAGTACGTAGTATGGATTTTGGACACATCTTGTGTCAACCTGTTTTCAATACCAACTTGTCAAATATTGATGCACTGAGACACCCTGTATGAGACGCCGCATTATTATTAGATGCTCTGAGCAATGTTCAATGAGGAGTTTCAGTGAGGAGAAAGCTGTTCATGTCAAGCATGAAACCAATACTCAACGTAGTTATTTTAAGTATGTAACGCAGTATGTCTCGTGACAAACGCACTTCTTTTAACCCAAACCTTGATCTTTTTTCTTGAACTAAACAAGTACTTTTGTTGCCCAAACCTCACTAAGTAAACCTAAAAACTAAGTATACCTACATTGACCAGAAACTGACATGCCATCCCTGACATGCCCAAAACTGACACTTCTTGGGTACCTAGAGTGTCATGGGTTGATGCGTGGGGTCACTGACCAAGCATCAGCATTTGATGAGTTGGGTGTGAAAATGTGTTGCTTGTTTCTTTACTTCCACTCCCTCATTCCCCACTCTCTGTTTCTGGTATATTTAATATTCAGTGTTTATTTTAAACCTACACCTCTAAAACTTCAGGAGTTTTAATCTAATTTTTGCATGGAAAGCATCAAAGAAAACAGAGACGATCTAAGAAATTAAGTGGTCGATTTTTTTCCAGTGTCTTTGCTACACAGTCTGTTTTGAAACACTAATTAAAACACAACATTGAAATCACACACAGGCGTTTAAAGTGCATTTCCTGTTTCATTACAGAAAATGGCAGAGTTGAACAAGTTCACAGCAGAGCATCGGGAGGAGGCGGGGTCAGACGGGGAAGGGGACGGCCCACAAGAGCCTGCTGCCAGCGGCAAGACCTCCAGCGAACTGATCGTCCAGCAAGTCCGCACAGTGGACCAGGACGGGAACCTGAAGGTCGTCTACCCATCAAAGACCGACCTCTCCAACAACATCAGCAACTTGACTGTCGTTTGGTAGTTATGATGTGGATAACCTCTGATGTTTACACTCATCCACACGCTATATGAAGTAATTATAACACATTAACATTGTGGGACATGAAGGCTAAGGTTTGACACAGTGCAACAACATTACATCCTTCTACTTCAGGGAGTGCAGGAAAGCTGATCCTCCTGGATTTCTTGTCAGTGAAGTGTTGCCTTTGACGAATGTTAACATTTCTGATTAATGTAGAGCTTTTTTGAACCACATGTAGTAATATGTTAATAAATCCTTTTGTAGCTTCCTGACAACACGATCAGCATGACAAACTGTGTCCAAATATCCTTATTTTTGTATTATTTACAAACTGAAGACAAGTTGTCTGCAGGTAAAATGAATTTTGTTCAACTTACATTTTAACTTGGACTGGTTACTTGTGGTATTGGAAGATTTGTGTGACTATCAACTTAAAACATTGGCATTTTCCCTTTAAGCAACAACAACTAATGTCTGACTTGGACTTAATAAAACTATTCTCCTGTTTTCATTCATTTTATTTCATATGCCACACACAGAGTTTGCAGTTTAGCTTGAGTGTCTGTAGGCTTGCATTTTTTTGTTGTTCAGCCAGTGTAACTAGAGCTGCTAATGCTAACTACCAATCAATGTGGGGACATAAATGTGTCACTTCCTGGGTGCAGGGACTTTAAAGTTCTGTGTGTGTGATTTTGGAGTGAGCAGATGATTTTTGCATGACAGAAGATGCAACATGCTCTCACACATACAGTAGTTACTCAGAACAATCAAGCTGGTTCAGATTCAGACAGGAGCAGAAGGTCAAGACCACAAGTACTCGACTTGCTTTGCCCAGGGCCAGTTTTGCAAAATGATAAGAAGTCAGGGGCCGGTCACAGCAGCCCCACTCTAGGCCCACAGGAAGTGCACCTGGATTTTAAGCCCATTTTTGTACTGGAATTACAACTTATGGGTCAATCAAATGGTGCCCTTGGGCCCCAAAAGACTTTTTCCCCATAGATTTACATTGTGAAAGAGACATCTGAAATTCAGTGGATATATTTTAACTTGTATGTAACTTGTAACCTGTATGGGCCAAACTATTCCATATTAGTACTCTGGTATATTTCTGTATCAGGAGCGGGATTCTGTAGTTATGTTTGACATTTCTTTAGCCAATGAACAAACCGACAAATGTATTAAATCAAATGCATGTTTATTGTGATATGAGTGAATTTCCAGTATGTTAATGATTAATGCACTGGAGGCTGATATGGAATGACCCCAGGATCTGTGAAAGAACAAAATATTAAATTCAGACACATAATTCAAGCAACTGAATTCTTTTTGTTGTAGCTGTGGCTGTTTGAGCAGCAACACTGTGTGGACAGATGTCTGTATCATGCCATTTTCCCCACCACATATTGTGCACCACATATAAGGTCCTTTAAGATACTTACATTCGCATATGTACGCCACCTCCAGGTACTTGTAAGTGCCACCGCAGGGGTCTCCAAACACTGAGTTGCTCACATTGATACTGCACCTGTTTTTCCCATTGCAGCTGTGGAGACAGAGCGACATGAGTGAACCTTTAACCTGAGGTATGAGTTGACAAAGACTGTTTGGTTTGGAGGTCTTGTGGAAAGCATCTTGCAGTTTAATATAGCTGCTTGGTATGGGAATCTGAATGTGAAGCAGAAAAACAAGCTTTCCTCAATTGTGAAAATTGCAGGGAAGGTGGTTGGTAAGCCACAACTTCAATTTGGTGAGTTGATCAATGGGGCAGTTGTCAGGAAGGTCAGACAGTTATCTGGGGATACTTCACACCCCTTACACTCACAGTTTGAACTGCTTCCATCTGGCTGCAGATTCAGAGTCCCGAGGGCGAGCCGGAACATAAATAAGAAATCTTTCATTCCACATGCCATACATGCTCTGAACATAACATGATTGTACCTGCTGTTGCTGTTTTTTTTGTTTGTTTTTTGTTTTTTTCTATTTGCACAACAACTTCACTCAACTTTACTTTTCTTTTCCTTTCTGTTGTGTATCTTGATGAGTGTTCTGGTTTTGTCTTGTGTAGTCTGGAGTCTGGAGAGGCTGAAGACAAATTTCCACTACGGTGGATAATAAAGTTTTATCTCAACTAATCTAATCATAACTGTCGTAAATTCTGCAGATTGCATTTTCTTATTTTTTAAAAGTTTTTCTTGCGTGGCATTTGCATTTATTGGACAGGATAGCTTAAGCATGAAAGGGGAGAGAGAGGAGGTGACATGCAGCATAGAGCTGTGGGCTGGAATCGAACCTGCAGCTGCTGTGGCAAGGATCTTCTCTTTATACATTGGTCGCCTGTTCTGCCCACTGAGATACTGGGCGCCCCAAAGATTGCATTTCCTTGATGCAGAACAACACACACTGTATTCCTTATATTTAGCAAAGGGTGTGCAGCTGTACCTGTCAGCAACTATGGTAGTAGGGCGTGAGCAGTTAGCTGTTAGGATCTGAGAGGTAGGCCGTCCGAAAGAGCAGGTTGTGCGGTCACGGCGTCCATAGTCAGCCCCATACACAAAGATAACCTGTCCTACATCTGTCAGAAAGAGGAGGAACAATTAGAGAGGACAGAGATGAAGTTATGAATTGACCTATGGCTAAGTCCCGCCTTCAGATGCAATGAGCCAATCACAGTGCGTATAGTAATTCCCATACACTCGGACATTCTCTGCCTGGACGTTCATTGAAATGCATTACAGAAACTCAGTTTTGTTCGGTTTTATGAGCTTTTTCGGAGATTTGAAGTTTAAAAATGGTCAAACAGTGTGCATGGGGTACATGCAACTCTGACACAAGGTATCCTGAGAGGCTGGGCGACAAGGTGTATTTTTTACACTTTAAACCACATCTCAACCGAGAAAAGTGTCTCCTTTGGATAAAGTTGTGTGGTAACGTTAGACCACAACATCAACTCAACGTGATTAAGATTAACAATGATGTTTACATCTGTTTTAAGGTAAGTTAACATCGTGTTTGAGGCAACATATTGTCACTTTGCTGGAAAGAAATATAAAGTTATCTTTAACATCTCTAGCTAACGTTAGCTAAAGTTAGCCTAACGTTAGCTCCTAGCTGCGTTGTTCATCATGTCACCTTGTTTGCTGGGAGTTCATTAGCCTATTTTGTTCTAGTTTTGTACTTTGGTGATCGTACATCATTGTTAGCTGTTGTCCAAAGGGCTCTAGTTAAGCTAACGTTAACTTCTGGAGCTTAGCTTCATTAACTTATCTGTAATGGCAGAGATAACAAAGGTTGGCAAACGTTATGCTGAATGATTCAGTGTAAATACTGTAGCACCAAA